TATTTTCCCGCGCGGGTCGAGAGGGTGCCCCAAGATGTAAATCAATTGGGATGGCAGAATCTTGGACAATCCAGGTCACCATCCGGTCGCTTTTAGGGCAGGATTTCGTCACTGCAACAAGGGTCCGGAGGGGTAGGGGAGGTAAGGTCTAGGTCTAAGGCTAAGGACTAGGTCTGAGGCTAAGGATAAGGCCTAAGGCTAAGGCTAAGGCTTAAGGCTAAGGCTAACATCGACAGTCACGCCTCACCCCACGGTGTGGGGTCGGCGGATTTTTTATTGGTCTCCAAAATCGATCGATCAACTAGAGCAATTCCCAAGCATTGAAGATGATGCTGTAGCGGGTGTGATAAACATAGAGACATAAGCCAGCAGTTCCATGTCGGGTGCTTAATGGCATATAGGCTGTATGGGGTGCTCGTTATCCACTCACTTAGGGTCTAAAAGCCATCGTTTTGTAACTCCATGTTGTATCGCCTCTCGCCGCCTCGCAGCCCTGAGGTCTTCTTTGGTGGATGAATTGCTGTCGGCCAGGCAGGGTCAGGACTGGAAGGCGGTCATGGCCTTTGCTCACTCGATGGGAAGATCTTCCCTCAAGGATGGAGCGAATCTCGCTTCAATATGCGGATGGTCCAAACTGAGCGGCCAAACAGGTCTTTTCATCTCAACCAACGTTGTAATTGGCCGCGCAACGCCGAAGCGCCCCAATGACTCGACATGTCCCCCGGCGTCCTTGCCGCACGAATGGGCGGCCTGGTGGTGCCTAGGAGTGCAGAATGGCCAGCATAGCTCCAGAAAGCCCTTCTCCCCTAAATCAAGAAGGGATGAAATACAACAAAATATAACACAATATATGTATATAAGAGAAAGTATAAAGAATCGACCGTTGCAGGAAACTAATCTTCGCATGTCCGTTTTGCCAGAAAGATGCTTCGTCCACCATAAAACCATATAAGGAAGAACATGTGTTTCGATCACCCTGCAGAACCAGATGGCCTTCATATGTGTTTCAATCGGTGCTTTACCATGCAGTGCACACGTATAGTATCGTATAGTACACATGTCCCAGTCAGTCAGAGCACAGTAAAATGACAAGGAATTACTACATATATAGAGTGGTATATACGGGATGGTTTGGACAAACCTCATAGGATAGCTGAGACGCTCGATTGGTGCATACCTTCGGTGCCCCAGGCGTTCACCTCGGTTCGGCTGGCACCGTTAACCTCTTCGGGTTCCCTCGGTTCGGCTGGCCGAGGCTGGCTTTGAGCCACCGGGCGATGGAGGTCTTGTTGCACAGTGCTGCAGGCGATGGGCTTCGGAAGGGATCCTGGTCTGAGGCCTTGGTGGCCTATGAGCGGCTGATGCTCGGAACACTGCGAGAAGTAGGAACAGGAAGGTTGGGGTTGGGGTTCCTAGGAAAGGAACACTGGCAGGAGACGATCTGAGTGAACTGGCAGGGTCTGAGAGAACTGACAGAAAGTCTGGACTGGGAGAGGATTTTCCCCAAGCTTGGACATGAAGGGAGGTCGTGTTGAGAGGAGTTTTTCAGAGTGCTGTGACTCTGTTGCTTGTGTTTTCTTTGGATCATCAGGAAGTTCTGCTATGGAAACCTGCCAAACGATGATGCTCGGCCCAGTTGATGCAGACTGTGTCCAGACGGTTCAAACATGTTGAAACTGGGCGTCCTCCCAGACAGTCCACGATTCAAATGACTGTACCGCGTGGAACGAGTCACCAGGAAGGTTTTGTCCGGCATTTTTAGCATCAACGGTCCAAAATGGTCCAAATGGATGTCCGTGTTTGTTTTGTTTTAGCAGATCGTTCGGACGATGTTCCACATCTTGGCCGGATGATGTTGCTTGTGGATCACATCGTTTGTACAGTACATGAGTTTGTACAGCACCCGTCCAGGATGCGTTTAGCCTCATCGACATGATGCGTGCCTTCGTTCCGGGGTCTCAATGGCGAGTGTCCATTCAGATCTTGGGCCACTTGAGATCTTCCACACGAGAACCTGCGACGAGAGCCTTGAAACCCGACGGAACACTCCTGGGGATTGTTCCGGAAAGAGCCTACGCAGAGTGGTCGGGAAGTCAAATTTCAGGGCTTGAGATTAAGGAGAATCAAAAGAGGAGGCAAGCTATTAAATTAAAGCCTGATGAATGTGCAGGCGAGTCAGGGGCAACTAGAAGAAATTACGAGCAAACCTTGGAAGACCATTGAACGTCAAGGAACATGTGGCATTTTGGTCGATATATCATCTGTCAAATTCCATCCACCACAGTAGCAGTTGCAGTTTACTTTAACGTTGTTAGATCTGTGACCATTCATGACCATTTATGACCATTGATCAATCATGATCAATTTGCCCTGAAGACGAGGAACAGGGTTTTCCGGTGCCGCGTCCATTTGAAGGTCATCCATGTTACCCTCGTATGGTTTCTCTTCCTTCAGGCCCCTCAGAATAGCATTGCTCAGAGATGCCCGTTTCCCGGCGAAACCGTCGACCACGTGCGGAGGTTCCGGTATTCCGAGGGGAACATGGGACCTTGCGGAACACCACCGGGGTTTGTAGAGGAAACATGGGATTTTTCCAAGGGGTTTCTAATCATGCAATTCCACTTCCCATGATATGTTTTTCCGGGAGTGTCAGGTTGTGTATGCCAGGCAGTCTATACCAATGCACGGAAAACCCGCACTGAGGAGCTACATCTTAGCACTTCGTGCCTTCTCTCGCACACGCACCTGGCACCCCGTCGTCGCACTCCTGGATGAGGTGAACCACCAAGGCACGGCGATGCGGCCACTGTCGTGGCGAGGGGCGGGTTCAATAAACGGACACGACCCCAAGAGAGCGGCCGGGTGAAGGCGGCAGTGGCTGGGGGCGAAGACAAAGTATACACTCCCGAGTGAACTCACATAGACCCTGACGTCCCGGTCCCATGGAAGACGATATTCCTCTACCAACCAGGGGTTTTCAGGTTCCATGTTAGTCTTCCAGGCGTGCATACACTCCCCGAAACAATCATGGAGGTGGAACACGGTCCCCGCATGAAAGACACATTTCCTCTATATATATATATATACCTAGACCCCGCAAAAGACGTATTTTTTTCTGGTGAGGGCAATTTTCAGGCGAAGCTAAAAAAAAACACACAACAAACAGTTTTGGTGTCGATTTTTGTCACTTCTGCGTTGTTTTTTGTCACTTCTGCGTCATTTTGGCGTCATGTTTTCTATCGCGAATTTGCTGCATGTTTTTGCGTCATGTTTTCTGGCGAGAGGGAAAAAATACATCGTTTCAGGGTCCAGGTATAGGTACTACAAACATATCAGGTGCTTTTCCAGAACATCCCCATGTTCCCATGAACATCCCATGTTGCTGGGCGGAAACCGGCCGGAAACCGCCGGCTTGCCGTTTTGGGACTCCGGAGTCGCCCCTGCCAGGAGTGCAGTGGCACATTGGCATGTATGATGCTGCTTTGGAAAGCTGCAAGGCCCGCCTTCGCACCGGGCTGCCTGCGTTGGCCGTCACACATGTGGACGCCGGGGGTGGACCGGCTCCCAAAGTGTGTTGGTGTTTTTTGTGCTGTCATGTTAGGACTCTTTTTGGCCTGGAGACACTTTACAAGAAGACTTTGGAAAGAACCCAGAATAGAACATGCAAGAGCTAAGAGCTGCTTGCTTCAGAGGGACAAGAGGGGCAGCGAAGGGAAAACAAATTGAAGGGTAAGCTGCCGGAAGGGTTTTGAAGAGGATGATTGCTTCAAGCAATAGTTTATTTATGGAGCCCCTCAGAACTCTTGGCTGGCTCAAAACGAAAGTCGCAGCTCAGCAGGTTGCAAAAGCTGTCTTGGGAAATTTAGTCATGAGTCTTTCAAGGTGTGTGTGTGTGTAGTTGCAGGTGATGACTCGTATTTGGTGTTCTGGAAGCTTTGTACCCTACCACAGGGCTCAAGCTGGGGCGCTGGGGCGCTGGGCCCAACTCAAGGCATCTGGATAATTCACACGCTGACTCACTGACATGGAAGTGGAATATGGCCCGTTGGATGACTACTTTCCGTTCCAAACAGGGGATTTCCACTTTGATTCGGCGTGTGCATGTTGGCCATGATTCCAAGGTGCACAACTCATAGGATTCGCATGAACACTTCAGGGCCCTAGCCTTTGGAAGAGAGCTCATTTGAAGAGACTTTTCGCCAGGATTCGAAGTGTGGCTTTGGAGCTTTGGAAGATTCTGGAAGTAGGAACAAGTAGATGAAGTGAAGTCTTCCATTTGAAACTTGATCTTGTCTCTTTTTTTGCCACCCAATTGTTTGGAACGACGCTTTTGTGACACGTGAAACGAATTTTGGGAAGTGTGGAACCACCCCATTTGGATGGGCACCTCATCTCCTCACTGTTGCTAAGCTAAGTGATGGGCACCTCACCACCTCTTGACCTTCTTCGCGACTGCTGACGGTTGCTTGGAGCTGTCAGGGTACTTGGGCATATCCCTGGAGCCAGTGGACCAGATCCATGGGGCTTTTGCAGCTGACACAGGGCCACCTCCTGCGCTGCAACCCCTTCATGCCGCCGGTCGGCAAGAGTGTTCCGTGCGAGTGCGACCGCTGCGAGTGCGACCAGAAACCGGAGTTGTGACGGAGTGTTCCAAGCGACTTTTCGTTGATTTACATGATTTGGGTAGTTTTGCAGTTCTATAATGTTCTATACACTATTGTGATGTAGATGAATGATTGTGTTCTGTTTGTTGTCCCACATGTCGGGGGCTCAGGCAAAGCTGGATTGAAGGTGCTGTCCGATCTATATCAGAAACAGTCATCCGGCGGTTGATCAGAATCAGAATCATATATATGTATATAGATAGATAGACTCAACAAAAATCCCAATGTCAAGCTCTTCTTGACCACTACGTAACTATATAGGCACGATGTTCCCCAGAATGGCTGCTAGGTTCGATATGACAGGGTTTAGGCCGTGAGGGTCGCAGCTTTGCCCTGATCTCCATGTACGCAGCTATGCATAGTATGCATAGTATGCCGCATGAACCCCTAAAAACCATTCCAACTTGCGATTCTTTGGCTGTCCGACTTGCAACGACGTCCTTCACAGAGCCTGGGCAAACACCTCCCCCCAAGCGACCCGATCGCTCGCATTCCTCAGGCTGCAAGCAACCCTGCGAGCTTGCCAGTCCAACTACGAATGGCGCCCCTCCATCGCGCTACTCCGGTGCCTCTTGGGCAATGCCCTTGAGGCTCACAGCAACCATGGCGGAAGAAAAGGAACAGCAACATTTTTTTAAAATACGTATTAAGTATTAAGACATGCAAATCTGTAAGAGTTGTGATCCTATAAGGGATCAACGGATCAACAATTTCCTTTTAACATAGGCCAAAAGCAAGACCTCATTTCTTCCAATCCTTTTCCATCCACGTCCCCTAAAGACATCAAAAGACTTTGCGCTTCTTCGCGCCTTCTATTGCAGCTAAGGTGAGCAGTACTCCGCAGCTTTGGCGGTGTGCGCAAAGGCCATGCAGTGGACTTGGGGTTTGCACTTCCTGCGCGCCTGGGGCGGAACGTTTCCTGTGCGAAGGGCGAGGAACGTTTACATGGCTTCCAACCTAATAGTGGTTAATAGCGATGGCCTCCAACCTAAGAGCGATGGCTTCCAACCTAATGGCCTTCACCCTAAGAGCGATGGCCTCCAACCTACGTACTAGTGATGGCCTCCTACCTAATAGCGCTAACCTCCATTCCAATAGCGCTAGTCTCCAACCTAATAGCGATGGCCTCCAACCTTAGCGATGGCCTCCAACCCAAGAGTGTGTGAGAATCCCAAACCATCAGAAGGGATCTCTAAGATCAAGATAATTTTGTTCAAGCTGTGTTCGGAGAACCAGGTTTCCTAGATGTATTTTCCTGTCAGGTACCTTCATGCCATTCGTTCCACATTCCGTTGCCAGACGCCAGATGCAGCCGCATCTTTCGTGCATTCGACACTATGGCTCAAGGCCATGAAGACCATGCAGGATCGTTCATCCAGAGGAAAAGAGCGCATTGGTGATTGGGTGGGTTCCGCAGGTGGTGAATCCTAGTTCCTACTTGAGGCCTCTAGGACCCTGTTCACTTACTAGTTTAGGGTTCTAATGCTTCGCATGGTAGCGGAGCTCATGGTGCTCCTTAGATTAGCTCTAGACATGATCCAGGTCACTAGGAAACTTTTTCTTCACCGCGACCACCCTGTGTTAGCCATGGCCAAGCGAGCTGCCACTGAAGTCGATGCAGAAGCATCTGATCGAGATAGGTCTCCACGAGGCCGACGAGGCAATTCAATGCCTGCGGTCACGAAAGCACCATCGCCTGCTTCACTAGCACCTGCGGTTTCCACACGTTTGGAAGGACAAATAGCTGAATTGACCCGTGGACTTCAGATGATGAGTACACAGCTTCAAACCTTAGCTAGTGTCGTGGAGAATCAACAACAGGCCGCGGCCAATGCTAAGTCCCAGAGTGCCATTCAGATGCAACAAGTAATGATCCAAGGTTTGCAAGCTCAGAGAACAGCGTTGCCCATCTCTCCTCGAGGTGTGTCACGACCGCCTTCACCGTCGGGTGTTCATGCAAGGTCAAGCCCATTTGGAGCTGCCAACATGTCTGGAGGTCAGCCCAATGGTGCTTCACCTTTTGGTATTGGACAGACTACGAGCAATGTGGAGGCACAACCAACGGCATCGTCAAGAAATGTTGGTTCCACTTCAGCGGATATGCCAAAGATTGTTCTTCCAGGTGGCATTGAGATTCCATTAGGTGTTCCGTCCACTGGAGTTACAACAAGTGCAACAACAGCTGGAACTGGTGGGACAACTGATAAACCCGCTACATTGGATGCCTTTCAAAGATCCGATAAATGGCTTCCAGAGATGCCCAGTGTCGACGCCAAAGGATGGCGTACTCGTACTGAAGAGATCATCGGTTTTGAGACCTTTATGGAGAACTTCACCGCATGGATTGGACTCGTCTCTGCCGCATTCGCCAATGAGGTACGATTCGCCATCACATCTCCCTCGATCATTGATGCAACGATGTTGAGTGAAGATCAGAAAGCTCGAGGTGTGCGACTTCTGAACATGTTGAAACAAGTGTTTCGTGAGGTCCCCAAGGCCAAGATGATTTTGCTTGCATACAACGAGTCTTCACATTCTGGAGAACGAAACGGATTCGAAGCACTCAGGTTGATCGCTCACGAGTACCTCGTGAGGTCACGTCAGGAGGTGATGCATTTTCGCAATTCGCTCTTGGGCAAGACTTTCAAGGCCAACAGCATCACTGAGCTCATCAAGCAGATGGAGTTCGAGGAAAGTCGATACCTGAAGTTGCTAAACATGCTTCCGAGCACAATCTCCAAGAGTGGCTTAGACTTGCAATCAACAGATCTTGCCATGTTGTTCCTTCGGTCATTGCCCTCCACGGTGCGTGAATACGTCACAATGCATGGTTTGTCAGATGATTACAAAGATCTCAAGTCTGCTGCATTGAAATATGAGACTTCTCAACGATTGTGGGCTGAGATCAGTGGCAGCACCGCATCACATTACATGCAGAGTATGTTCGAGAACAAGACCAAGAAAGGTGAGAAGGGCAAAGGTAAAGGAAAGGAGAAAGGCAAGGATGCACGATCGACTTCAAGCAGCCCAAAGAAGAAAGCTGAAGAGAAGAGCGAGAAAGAGAAGAATTCCATATGCTTTCGTTGCAATCGCAAGGGCCATTTCCAAAGCAATTGCCATGCCAAGACCGATAAGTATGGTAACCCATTAAGCCAGCCTGAAAAGGCCAATTCGTCCGATGCAGGGTCAAAGGGTTCCCAACAGCCTGATGGAAAGGGAAAGAATAAAGGTGGTAAGGGTAAGGGCAAAGGTAAGGCCAGTAAAGGCAAGATTCACGAGCTGGTTTCGAATCAGCCGGATGCCGAGTCATCGCCAATCGAAGGCATCGACCGCCCAGCCGACTTTGAGCCCTTTCGTTGCCGCCAATGCACGTTTTTCGAATCCATACCTGCAGACCATGTTGCAGTTCGAACGTTCGGTGAACTTGGAGGAGGACTGCGCGGGGCATGGGTTGGAGTCAAATCCCGGTGTTTTTCCGAGCACTGTGGTGTTTCCAGAGTTTGTGAAAACTGAAGTTTTTAGTCATCCCCTTCTTGATCAGGAAGAAAAAGACTTTGTGCATACATCGTCAATGAAACGTCCAATATTTATGCCCTTTTTGATGCCTGCAACAACTTCTCAACAGGAAGATTCGGACGCATTCTGGTGGCTGATTGACTCAGGAGCAAGCGCCTCTGTTGTGAGTAGCAAGTTCATAGATTCGTACGAGGTGCACCAAGTCATGGATCTCCCAATGAATCATGAACACGGTTTTTCTTCAGCTTCTGGTGAAATCATCAGGCCATCGAGAATGGTTTGTATTAAAGCACATTTCAGGATGATCTCAATCTATGATCCTAATCACAAGATCGGGCAGGATTGTTTGATTACAGCTTTCGTAGCTGATGTGCCGAACAATGTACTGAGTCTTGGAACATTGTTACGTAAGGGATGGACCCTTGGGAGTTCCGGATCAGAGGTCCAGGTCATGCACGATGACTTTCGCCTGGATATCGTCACGTGGCAGAATGTTCCATGGGTGGCTCATAAAGACTATGAGTCATCCAAGCACGATACGCCAGCAGCTCGGCTCGTCGAGTGGTTCAAGACTTCGTCGGTGAAGCCGCAAAAGTTGAAAGATGGTTCACAATCTTCCAAACAGGTTCGATTTGGGGAACCACATGTTTTGACCTTTGAAGGGGAAGCTCCATTGTTGATGGCTGCAAAACGAAAGGCAGAAACTGAATTGAGTCCTGAAACTGTTTATCGTTCGCTCGACTCTCAGCCTCAAATCACGCCTCCGATACCCGCCGATCGAAACGTTGCTGGAGACTCAGAGACTGTCGAGCAGTCAGGGAAGGATCCGTCTTCGTTTTCAGGGGGTGGGATCGTTCCGAATGAGCCCAATCTAAGTGGCATGCAAGTTGAGACATCAGTTCAACCACCAGGTCTGCCTACCGCACATGGCACTTCGATGCATTCAACTCAGGCACCGCAAGACTCGTCAGCGCATCCAGTTGTTTTGAGGAAAGGTCAAAAGGTAAAGCAGTCGTTAGAGGAACATCGCAACCAAGGCCATTTTCCTTTCCATGAAGGTTGTTTGTCGTGTTCAGCTTCCAAGTCCTTCACCCAGCATCGTCGTAAGAAGAAAGATAAATTGACTTCAGAAGTGGCTGCTGATTTCTTCTTTTTTGAGAAGTATAAATATATGATTCTTGTTGATGTAGCCACAAACATGCGTGGAGTAGTTCCGATCGTCCCTGTGGTAAAGACTGAAGAGGGGGTGAATCAGGTCTTCCTTGGCCTGGACATTGGTCGAGACATCTCCATCCTAAAAGCAGCACCGCAGGCACATCAAACCGTTGGAAGTGCAGAGGGTGCTATTCGAGTAGTGAAGGATTCCTTGGCTGCCATCCGGCAGGACCTACGGGAACATCAGGTCGATCTGAACCTGAACACATCCGATCGTAAGGGCCTCAATTCAGCCCTTGCATACATCTGTTTTTGTGCTAACAACCATTCGACCTTTCTTGACACTAAGAAGTCCCCAAAAGAGATTGCCCTCGGCCGTTCCGTTCATGCGCAAACAGCCATGTTTGGCTCGGTCTGCCTGGCAGAGGTTCCGGAAAGTCTTCGAAAGAATGCCATCTCCCGCTTTGAAAAGGCGGTGTATCTGCGTCCTGAGTTCAACTCACTGGGACACATCTGTTGCTGTGTGCTGGAAGGTACCGAAAGAGTATTCGTGGCCCGCAGCGTGAAGCTGCTCACACCAATAAGCTTTGAAGTAGGCCTGGCACCTTCTTTCGTGATGTCGTTTGATCGCGGTCAATCTCGGGAGAGTTTAGAAGATGTTCACAAACAGTTCGACACTGCCAAAGTAGGTGAGGATACTTCAAAAGTTGACCCATCAATGCCAGAGTCTCAACTGCATGTCAAACCGCCAAACTATGAACACATCCGTAATGTCCCAACTGAATGGATTAGGAAGCATGGTCCCACCAAAGATTGCAATGTTTGCAAGAGGCCCACCTTCCACGGCCGTCAGCACAGCCGTGCATGCATCGCAAGGTATGTAAAGTGGCTTCAGGGAGAAGATGCCAAGATAGAAGTTCCACATGGTCCGTCCACATCTTATCCGTCGAGTGGTGATGTTCCTATTCCAATTCATGCTGATTCGAGCCAAACTGCTTCATCAGCGCCAACCAGGCTGTATGCGAAACAACCCCGACCTATGTCCCTGCCTGAGCCGACAGTTCCTGTCTCCCTTAGGTATGGTGATTCTCTTGAAGTTGATGTCCTAAAGAGTAAAGGGGGTGAAGGGGGTCCGCATAAAGCAAACGATGTCGAGGTGATGTCCGATATATCCTATCATCCAACGACACCAAGGGAGAATCTTTCGCCCAAATCCGACTTGTTTGAGCCTGAATTGCCTGTCATGGAGGTTTCAGAATCTGTCCAAGATCCAGTTGCAAAGGCATTTGAAAATGCATTTCCAAAGCCAACCGAAGCTATTCCGGTTGAGGTTCCTCCGGCAATCATCGATGTTGACATGGCTGTCGACACGGGTGTACCGCCCTCAGAGTTGCCGCCTCCGGAGTTTGATGCCATGCAGCTAGGATCGTTGGTTACAGCTTTTGATTTAGCATCAATCGAGAACATCGAGTCCAGGCATTCTGGTTTCATGCAGAGCGTCTATCAGGTTAAAGGTCAGAAGCCCGAGTATAAGACAGTCATGTTGTGCGGTCAACCGGTGAAATTATTGTTTCCAGGTTATGTGATTAGTGATGCCGATGGTCGATATTTAGATTGCGGCTTAGCTTTTCAGGGCATGCAAACCGAGATTGATTCCATGAGTCTTCAGAAAGTAGGCAAGTTGATCGATGAACAAACGTCCAAGGTCCTTTCGAAGCAATGGGGCATTTCGCCCATCACCACACTCTGGGTATGCGTGGAGAAGGACCCAACTAATGTTCGCATGCGCCTTGTGGCACGCGAGATAGCTCGTGGACAATTGTCTGCGAAGGATTTGATGATCAGTTCACCCACGAGCTCCATCGAGTCGCTTCGACTCATGCTTGCCGATGCCTCAATTTCGGATTTGCACATAACAGGCTTAGACGTATCAGCCGCATTCATGGCATCTCCCCTTGGTCAGAAATTGGGTAAGCCAATCAAAGTCATTTTGAAGCTGCCACCGAGCATTGTTTTCCCCGACTTGTCACCTGTGTACTTGGAAGCCTACAAGGCTATCAATGGCCTTCGTTCCAGTGGACTGGCATGGGTAGAGCACCTAGCCAATCTTTTGAAGTCTTTGCAGATCAATCCATCCAAGCTTGAATCCACTATCTTCGCAGGACATGTTTCTTTGAAAGATAAATCAAAGTCTTGGGTTCAGGTTGTGGCGTACGTGGATGATCTCCTGATCTTTTCCAGATGCCAGGAGGCCACAGACATCGTGTTCAAGCATTTGTCCAGTGCACTTAAAATCAAGAAGACTGGGGAAATCAAGCCGAGTTTTGAAGGGGGAGGAAAGATTCGTTTTCTTGGGCGTATAATCGAAAGAAAGCCGATGCGTAAGGAGGTCACCATCAAATTGGATGCAAACGCAAACTATCTGGAATCCACATTTGAAGCATATCAAATCTCAAAGGGCACAGACAATCCACCGGATTTGAGGCCGTTGTTGGATGACCCGAAAGAAGACAAAGAAGTGCCGCTGTCTGCTGAGGCTGTCACCAAGTTTAGGGGTGCGCTAGGCAAATTAAGTTGGATGTCTCAAACACTTTTGCATCTATCAATATACATGTCATTGCTTGCTACGGGGATGGCAAATCCACTTGCCAAACATGAAGCCGCTCTGCGTGCGATCCTCAGGTGGCTGTTCAACCATCGCTCGTATGTGCAATGCTTTCCATCTCCAGAGTTCAGCATGGACCCCAGCTCATGGTCCAATCAGATCACAATGTACACGGACGCGTCTTGGGCGCCGCTCAGATGTCTTCGAAGAAGATCAATCTCAGGCATGGTAGCCTTCTTCAAGGGAAGTGTTGTCAAAGCCTTTAGTGCAGTCTCTGGTAGCTCTTAGTTCATGTGAGGCTGAACTTTCGTCAATCGCCGAATCAGTTCAGGAGGCCATAGGGCTAGCTAGATTGACGGATCACCTACATGTCGAGTCGAAGATTCGTGCCAGTACAGAGTCTATATGCGAAACAGTAGCATTGGTTCAAATGTATGAGCATCTGTTTGGATATGACTCTCAACCCCACATAGAGTGCCGTACGGATTCGCAAGCAGCAATTCGTGTTCTTCAGGCCAATGGCCTTCAGCGCAAAAGCCGACATGTTGAGTTGAGGATTTGCTTTTGCCAGGAACTCATCAAGAGGGGAACCGTCTCTTTAGTTTGGGTTGAGGGCCATGCACAAATCGCTGACATACTGACGAAAACGTTAGGTTCCCGGCTTGTCAACCAATTCAGAGTCAGTATGGGTTTTCTTGAGGATGATGAGGTGAACTTCGCAGTGTTTAGATCTTCAAGCCCACCTTCGTCGTCATCTCAAAAGCCGCCGAATACCAAGATGTCTAGCATGATTCGTGCTGACGGTACAATCGAGTTAAAGCCGATAGTTCAGCGCCATCTCAAGGCTGGAACACCATCCAGCCCTTCGTCAGGTACCAAGAAGTTCCCAAGTGTTCTTGTAGAAGCAAATGGTATCACCGATCTTGAACATGAAGAATTTGATATCATCATTGTTGAAGTGTGTTGCACAAAGGAAAGCACTTTAGCTGGAACTGCAATGAAGTTCTTCCCGGCCAATTCTTTGATCATCAGGTGTACGAAACTCTCGCCTTTGGAAGAGTGCCACAGGAGCATTCTTCAAACGTTGCAAAAGCATCACCAGAGGAGGGGTAAGTTTTCATATGTACATGTCTCACTTCCGTGCACGGGAGGAAGTTCGTTGCAGAAGTGCTCAAGAAAGAACACCAGGACAAATTATTCTATCTTCTTGGTTTTTGTAGTGAAATCACGTTCGAACTGCCAAAACGCAATAACTATTGGAAATCACAGCCGGTTCAGGAACTCCTGATGAAAGCTCATAGGCCGGTTTTTGCAAACGCTCCGAAACTCTGCATGTGCGGTGGTCCGATTGTGAATAAGACTTTCTTGTTTGCAACGAGCAGTAAAGCCATCGCCTCATGTCTCGAGAAGTTTGCATACTGCAGTCACCCAAACCATGAGACGTTTAACAAGTCGAAGTGGTCCAACACCGGTCGCTATCCTGAACGACTCGTTATGGAGGTCTTGATCCATGTGAAGAGCCTTTCCCTTGGTGAGCCTGTGAGGCTCGAAGGGGGGTTCGTAATGTTCGACCCGGACGAGCCAGGATTTTCCTTTAGTTCAAAGCAGTTGCAATCACGGCCAATCGTGACAAGTGAAACGTAAGGTTGTTTGTGTGTAGGAGCTTTAGATTGTGAGTCAATCAACACTGCTTTCTCCCTTTCAACAAGCTTTGATCAAATTGGATTTGAGTTAATCTCGAGGACCATGCATGAGTTGTATCATTAGGCACAGCTGCTAGCGGTCGAGATGCACTCCCGCGTTCTTTTTTGAGAGCAAAGTTGGAGAGTCATCAATATCCGCTTCCGTTTCTTTTTCGAATTCCACTTTCCTGTTTCCCGTGCATGCCAGAGCATTAGATTGATTCGTGCTTCATTTTGTTCCCTTGACCGTGCACAGGCAATACACCTTCGACAGAAGTCAGGTGCGCCCTAGCATTCATTTTAATTGCAATGCAGAGCATTGTAAAATTATCTTGAAAGGGGGTGTGAGAATCCCAAACCATCAGAAGGGATCTCTAAGATCAAGATAATTTTGTTCAAGCTGTGTTCGGAGAACAAGGTTTCCTAGCTGTATTTTCCTGTCAGGTACCTTCATGCCATTCGTTCCACATTCCGTTGCCAGACGCCAGATGCAGCCGCATCTTTCGTGCATTCGACACTATGGCTCAAGGCCATGAAGACCATGCGCAGGATCGTTCATCCAGAGGAAAAGAGCGCATTGGTGATTGGGTGGGTTCCGCAGGTGGTGAATCCTAGTTCCTACTTGAGGCCTCTAGGACCCTGTTCACTTACTAGTTTAGGGTTCAAATGCTTCGCAAAGAGGGATGGCTTCCAACCTAATAGCGATGGCCTCCAACCTAAGAGCGATGGCCTCCAACCTACGAGCGATGGCCTCCAACCTAATAGCGATGGCCTCCTATATACCTAAGAGGGATGGCTTCCAACCTAACAGCGATGGCCTCCAACCTAATAGCCATGTTCTCGAGCCTAATAGGGATGGCTTTCAGCCCAATACCGATGGCCTCCAACCTAAAAGCGATGGCGAGGAACGTTTGCAGTTTGAGCCCCTAGCCGGACTCTGCCCACGTCGGAGAGGGTTCTGCCCTGAAGCCTAGGCCAGTGGATCCCAGTTACCACTAGTTAGGAACCAGGGATTCGTTCGGTCTATGGGTTTAGTCTTTGGAACCACTGGTTGCCAGCGAACGTTCGTGGTTTGCCTGGATGGTTTGGGTAAGCCTTTTTCCGTGTCCGGACTCTTGGACACCCCCACTGGATGGTCCAGGAGCCCAGGGGTCCCCTGGCAAAGCAAACCCCAGCAATGCCCATGCCATCCACAGGACCGTCAGGAGACGTTGCTATGTACATCCATGCAGCCGATGTCCTCGATGTCCTCGATGGAGTCCCAATGATGCTGTGAATGATGGTGGTGTTACAGGTGCAAACTCGGTGCCTAAAACGATGCGTGGTGTAAAGCAAGAAAATTAGACTCTGGAGGAGGTGTTTTGGTTAGGTGCGCCAATGCGATAACAGACACAGAGAGAGAGAGAGTCCTTGCATCCAGTAAGGCTCAGTAAGGTTCAGCGTGGCACAGGTTCTCAGATAATCAATAAGTCTGAAATAGTACGAGATGTTAGAACCACAGCCACCCATCTATCTAAGCCACCTGAAGAGGACCACATCGACTCACCAAAATCCTCGGCGGTCTTGCTTTGTTCACCACACCTCTTTGAAAATGATGCGACCGAATGAGGTCGAGACATGGTGCGCTTGGACCTGAGCATCAGCAGCACTGCTGTGAAGCCCTCGGTGGAGCTCTTCCAACGAGCCAGCCAGTGGCTCGGCCCGAAAGTGGAACGGAAAAAGACGGTGTTTCTCACGCAGCGCGGAGGCTTTGGAGCAAGTCAAGTCGTGGAGCCTGGCCGTAGAAAGATCAGTTTTTTAACCGAGTTGAAGGATGTGAAATTCAACAAGCCAGCAGTTCCAAGTTGGGGAGCTTTATCCAAGCAGGAGTTCGGGCTGCTCATGATCCGCCCACTTGGGATCCTCAAAGCATCTCAATGCTAATCTTTCTTTTGGTTCACAATTGGTGACGTGGGATGACACTGGAATCACTCACCTTTTTGGTCTACAAGCCATTCCAACTATACCATTCATTGAATCTTTTTACTGAACAACCGTTATTAAGGATCTCGCACCACACAAACACGTGAACTTGTTCAGTGCTTCTGCAATGACGTGGTCTCAACAGCCCGAGGGTGGAGTTGTGAGCCACGCCCCTGTGGGGGGCGTGTCCCGCCACATGGGTGGTGGTGAAGACATGAGCAACGGCTTTTATTTGCGGTAGTGAAGATCAGTCTAGGGGCGTTCCTTTTCTATAGCACAATGTCAGATTTAGTTGGCGAAACGAGGGAGGAACACCCCGAGAACGAGATGGGCATCAAATGCGCCATTTGTTTGAAATGGTTTGGTTAATGACATGTTTAGCTTGTGAAACGAGGTAGGAACACCTCTCGAGAACGAGATGGGTATCCACACACCAAAACGAGATACAGGAATGGAGAACGAGATCACACACGAAAAACGATGCGGGATTGGAGAACGAGGTAAGGAAGGTCCATGTGATAGTTTAACGGAAATAAATTCCATCGCTCACATGTGAAAACGATAGCTGCTTCAGATTTGCCAGTTGCCACTATCAAACTAGGCTGCAGACGGGGGTTCTCCGGGTGAAAACAACACAAGCAAACGTCAGACGAGTCAAAAACGCGGAGCCTGCCTGTGTTTCTGATAAAGTGCGCTTGCTTTGATGCATTGAAAAAGTGTTAAAACAAACGGAACTGTTTGAAAAAATCCGCGCGAAGAAGTCGAATATGAACAGAGTAATGCCAGATTTGGACAAGGTGTTTTTTCATCTCCCCAGTCAAGGTGTGGTTTCATGCTTTTTGCATGTCGCATGTCATGCTGAAAAAACCTTCAAAATTACTGCTGGCACCAGTGAAAAATTCATGTGGTGCTTTTTACTGTGTAAATCACAGTACATTTGCACGGCCAAAAGAAAAGCTATGTTTGATAGTCAGCCCTTCTTTTGTCTGATCACTTGCATTTCATTTTGTACTTCTGCAGCCGTAAGCTTCGACACGAAGAAAACTTGTGTTTGTTTGTAATTTGCAGGGTCCTAGGTCCCCTAGGCGTGTCTACGCTATACGTGTGTAGCACCTGTTGTTCGTAGTTACTTGTACATATACTCTTCAGTCAGCTTAGCAGCAAAATTCGTGTTGCTTTTGGCTGAAGACCACTAGAGCCCGCACTTGCACCGCTCGCCATAAACCAGTGTGCTCTTTGCCGTTCGCACACTTCCACACTCCGCTATCGGGTCTATTAGGTCTTACTTGGTGTTATCGATCAGGTCCAGTGTGCTTCACTGCTTCACTGCCACTTTGGGGAACTTACTCCTCACCCCCCCACCCCATTTTAAACACACGACTAACCAATGAAAATGTAGTGGTCATGACACTGCTGTGATCGATGACAATGTTGTGATGCAGAAGTCCCCAATGTCCCCGATGATGCTGAAGTCCCCGGAGAACCCCTCGTCCAGAACCTCAAACTAATATAATCATGGCTGATCATGGCTGCATATCATATATGATTACAAACACACACACATGCATACTGTATACAGTGCATCATATCGACTGCAGCTGGCAGGCAACCAGCGACTCGAAATTAAAAAATCATAGACCTCCAAAAGACTTGGTACCTGAGACCCACTGGGGTGAACATCTGAGATCGAGGGAGCTGGAGACTGCCAGTGCCAGCCATGGATAGAGCCGTGTTCTGAGAACACTGGGTGTTTGTTGTTTCAAGCTGGAAAGGCCAAGGGGACTGAAAAAGGATAGAGCCGATGGAACCCGGGTGTTTTGCAGAGACTTGCTGGTAGTGACCATCCTCACCACCCTCCTTCCCCATTTCCCGTAGCGAATCACAAGGTTGTACGCCTTTACGGCGGGTCTTCCAGCAATCAAACCATGAACTGAACGAGAGCTTCTTTTGGCACTCATTCAGCTGTTGGACAGGAACCACTCCTTCACGTACTCTAGGGCCATCGGAGCCGGCAAACACTCCGACAACCTCCCAGGTGGCACGATGCCTTGATCTTGAGGAGGAAACTCAACACAGTGAGACGTTGGACTGGGCCCCGAAGACGGGACCAGCGAAGATGACAGGCCCAGCACCAAAAAGAGGGGGCCGGCGCCAGAGGCCGGCGTGGAGGAAGTGGCGATGTGCGACGTGCGGCGTGTGGCACCTGTTTTGGTGATTTGTGGGTCGTGGATTTGGATTCATGGGATGGGCGCATGTCCCGGACCGTTTAGCAGAGGTTGGGGTGAACCACCGGTTAACCACCAGCATTTGATGACTTGTGATTTTGGGACTTCCAAAGCCCTCAATCGAAGCAGGTTTTTTCGAGGAATCAACCACATTGCATCCCCACTGAGATGATTGATTCCTTGATGCGCTTGCCATACACACAACACCCACATGCTTGGAAAGTCCTTGTTGTGGTTCAAGGGTTTGCTGGATTTGGAGCATTCTCAAGCTGGAGTTTGCAACCAGAAAATCATGCAAAACACCTAAGCTCAAAGAAGAGGCAGGGCACCACCCAAAACCACAGTTTTGAGAGTGCAACCTCTCAAAAGATGGAGTGCCACCCTTGGTCACGGTATGTCACCTTTTTTTTTCAGCCAGTCGATTTAGCTTGACACCGAACCTCACGTGGCAGCTACAGGCCATAGCCATAGATGTCCTTCATATTCCTTAAGTACTGTTGTTTGGTTGAATTATATGGAGAGGATACCCCCAAGTGTACACACCAATGGGCCATATGATTGCATTCTACCAATCCCGACTCCCAAGGGTAGACGTCAGGATGTTGGAGCCCGGGTCGCAGCTATCGATCTGACAAGCTGTCCGGGACCTCTTTAGAGGGTGGTTCCGAGGTAGATGAGATGAAGCTTAACCAGGTAAAGATGTTGAAAGCTATTGGAAGACCATGTTTGAGCATCCTGGTAGGGCCTCGGGGACATTTCATATGATTTGATTCAACCAAAAAAACAAGTCTACACATGGCCTACTGTATCCATGCCCTAAGTTTTCTGGTGCTGGATTCTGCAGCCACCCAGTGGAAGCCTAATCAACAAAAAGGTGGGTTGACACAGACAAGCCAGTGTGGGATAGACACCGTTTTGGGCAACCGGCCACGTCGTTTCCAGCAAAAAGGCTCAAAACGAGAAAGTGATTTCTTGAGACACCAACTTCTACCAGTGACATGCCCGGAGCATCCGTTCGGGGTGGTCTGGCTGGACTTCGGGATCGGCCGTGCACACAGGAGTCGCTCACACAAAATGGAAGGTGACCCTGCAATAAACATGGTTCCGCGGTCAACGCCGTGTGTTTGGAGGAATTTCTGGTCTTTCCACCATGGTTGTTGCAGGTAGGGTAGGCCGTCACCTATCGAGCTCAAGAGTCGACCATTTGGAGGTCAACAACAAGGACTTGGATGCGACCAGAGGCAGGGTGCACACCTGTCCAGGCCTAGACCCATGGTTGTCCTCGTCTGTTCTGAGAAGCTGAGTAGCCCAGGAGGCCATTAGGAGAGATTTAAGATCAGATGTTGCTTCTAGGAGTCACATGGAGTTGGGTGGCGTGGCTCGTCCGATGTATTGAGCACCCCTCTTCTCCATCGGCACGTCTTGTGACTCCTCGACGGTTGATGTCTTGGATTTCACTCGTCGTCCCTTGTGCAAACCTTCGCACTTTCAACACAGGCGAACGTCAGGTTGCTCGTGGGCACTCGTGCATTCCACGAACACCCAACTGGGTGGATCATGGTGGAGTCCGACACCTTCCCGGCGGAGTTGGGGTGGAGAAACTGCCGCAGGAAACCTTTATCGCTTAGCCGCTTGAGAGAGCCGGCAACATGCAGCCAATCTCTAGTTCTGCAGGTTCATGATGCACAACCCACTGGGAAAAAGACGGAAACAGTTCACATATACAGGCCACACAGGATGCACATGTTTTTTTCTTGCCACCCACCTTGGTATGAAAGCGGTCCTGGGATCTCGCTCAGTTATGAAGGCGGGGCTGAATCTGAAACTGGGGTATCCAGAGGGTGTCAGACCCTCCCAAGTCATTACTATTACCGTCAAAATGGGACATGACCTACAACATCCTACAACAGATCAAACCCCAGGATCTTCTTAATGCAGGCTCTTGATGAATAAACAACATGAAAAGTTAAGGTCATAAAAGGTTGTTCAATCCAAATGGGGAGGGTTTACCAATGCAGAGTCTACAATAGTGACCTTTTCAGGATTCGTCAAGTGGTGCTTTCAAGGTCCTTTCCATGACCATGTCAAAACTATTTTGATAGAGTCCAGTCACATCACATCACAGTCTACAGTACATCAACAGTACATCACAGTCTACATCTCGTGCCATCTCGTGCCCATTTTTTGGTGCTACTGTAATGGTGCAGAGATGTACACTGTGATGTACAGTAGGGGTGCTACATGAGTGGAGCCTTGCAATGGTACCCCGTCATCACTTCAAGGCTCCAGGACACCCCACACCGACAGGTACCATTGCCACGCGAGCTTTGGAGATCGAAGCGTTCGGGGCACCGGAGAAGCCGCGAAACGTGCGGGGCGTTTCGGGGGTCGATGCGTTCGGTACAAATCCGGTCGATGGGGTTCCCACCTGGACCAAATGCATCCTGATATTTGAGATGGTTTGCCGATTTGCGGATTGGTTTCAACGGGAGCACGGGATACTTGAAGCTTGGGGGAAGCTTGAAGCTGGCGTCGGATGACGGGCCAAGAAAAGCCAGTGTTGGTGCCTAGAAAGGTGGAGATCCAGGTCGTTCTGCTACTGAGATGGTGTACACTGCCTAGAACTAACATGGAAGTGGAGAATGGCCCCTTGGAAGATCTCGACCATTTTACTCTACAAACAGGAGGTTGTCAACTTCCATGTTAGTTGGAGGGAGAGTATTTTTCGTTTTTGGTACTGAGTGCCGGTCTTGCAACACATTCCAATGTGTGTTTTTCTGCTCAGCTGTGACGGTCATCCCTTCATTTGCCTGGTCAAACAGGTCGGCAGAACGCAGCTGTCTGACTGCGCGAGTTTCTCTCATCCTCCGGAGCAGTCAGACAGCTGACGGAAAACCGAAACCGGAAGACATCCCTTGAGTCCTCATCGTTCCTCATGAGCATTTTTGGGGTGCAGAGAGTCATCCGGGATGAGACTGGGGTGCTGTGAACCCCATACGGACGCCGTTGTTTTGTTTGTATATGACATATTATCGTATATATATATATATTATCATGGGGACGGTCCCATGGTTGCAACAAGTCGTTACTGTTACTGTAGCTTTGCCTGGAATCCAAGGACCTCAGGATATGATTGAATTAGGCACCTCAAGTTGATGGACATGTGAATCATTTATATAATATATATACTTATCGCCGCTATTGAAAAGTTGTTCTATTTGTTAAGGAGACTTCCAAACACCGGATTCTCTAGCGACTCTAGGCGTTCTGATTCTGATTTTGTCATCTCAAGTAGGATTATGGCATGTGTTCAGAACTACCACTTTGCATCAACACACGGCTGCCTCACACAGACCTGGTGCGGGTGTCAGTGTGACTGTCACTTTGCCGCTCACCTACTCATACTCAGTCTGTTGTTGCTGCTGCTGCTGCGACTGCTGCGGCTACGACTTTTTCGACTTCCACTGACAAATTGAACTGATACCCCAACTAGTAGTAGCATCACCAACAGCAAGGATTAGCCGAAGTTCATGAGCATGTCCTGGAAACGTCCATATTCGACTCCTTCATTGCGCTCTGGGTGCATCGGTGTTCATCCTCCCTGCGACCTGCCGCCATGGCTACGCCACATGAGCTGGTCTTCAGTGGGCCGAGCGGCACTGGAGAGGCAGGGCAGTCGGAACCTGGTGCCACTGGGTGATCCCAGCGGGTGGGTCTAACATGGTCTAACCACCTGAAGATATGGGTGGAGCCTTAGGGTCTTAGAAAATTCTAGCGGAGTGACTCTTCAGGGGCCGGAGCTGGGCGTAGGAGGATATGGGTGGAGCCTTGGGGTCTTGGTAGCTGGTGCTTCGGAGGGAGCATGAAGCACTGCCGGCCCCCAAAAGGGCCGGGCGTAGGTCTTGAGCGGGAGCTCGGAGGGACCATGTGCTCCACGTACTCATGGCGGCTTGCAATGGCACTGGTCGGGCTCCAGGTGGATCACGACCCATCCCACTGGTGAAGGTATGCGGTTGGACAAAAGCTGCTTTGATCCTGGTGAGCTATTGACTTGCACGAGGGCAGGACCCCCGTTTGCACAAGCGGCCACAAGCGTTTCAACTTGTTTGGAAACAACCGTGAAAGGACTTTCTTTTGGGTATGACAGATGCAATGTTTTTGTATGCACTCATGCTTTCATCGACTTGCAATAGCAGTCTAGAGATGTTTAGACTACAACAGCTGCAACCAGCTGCACCTGGTCTTTGACTCTTGGTGGACTCAGTTCACTCAAGAACCTTGCGCGGGTCCCTTGTGTATGCTACACGGCGGCACGCCCCGGTTGTGGGGATCCATCAGTTTCAGCGGGATCCTTCGCACGTTCGATTCTCTCTTCCTGCATGGCTCCATCCTGAAGATCAGAATCCCAGTCACGACCCGTTTGGGACTGCCATAGGACTGCCTTCAAAACGGCCAGGGGTGGTGCCAGGGGGATCAATGGGGCGGCAGTCCTATGGCAGTTGTATGGAGTGCTTGGGTATGGCTCCAACTAGTTAGCAGTTAGCTCCAAGGAACTTTGGGACCCCTCCTTGGTGCCTGGGGGGTTCTGCTTTTGGGAGGCTTTGTGGACATGGACCTCATCTGCGCATCTCAACAGTCCTGGGAAGCTATGATCTCAACGTGGATGGCCGCGAGACCGGGAAGCTGGGCAGATTGGTCCGCAGATCGGTCCGCCCCTCCTTAGCAAAACCAAAAATCGGTGGAGTGGAAACTAGTCTCGAATAGACATTCATATTACCCAGACACTCCATGGGACTGCCATATATGCCTACATTGACCCCCAAAACCACCCCAATGTAGGCATATATGGCATACATGGAGTGTTTGGGTTATGGTTGATGGTGATCGTGACGTGAACGAACCATGTGTTTGGGCGCACGAGAACCAGCAAGCTGTCAAGAAAGACGCAAGAATGACCTCAGTGACCGCGGAGTGCCCTCGGGCGACCACCCACACCACAGTTAGGCGGATCGGGTGTTTTGGAGGTTCCCTATATGAGTAACTCCCCTTCCAGGAAGTTCATTTTTATACGTTGTTCTCAGTCCCTGGATGGCAAATCCAAGCTTAGGGCGTACCACCACTAACAAGGCACCACCAACACATGTCGCACATGTACAGATCCCTCCCTCCCAGGATCCGCTCTCCACTGATCGCAGCTGGGCCTCGATGAAAGCATGTGAGTTCGATGAGGAAGGGGGTGGTGGATGAGGAACACCAACAAGATTGTGTATTCAGTCTGTGTATAGTGGTTTCAGAATACATGGCACAATCCCCCAAAGGTGGTTTATATGGATCCCAATCTAAAAGACATCTGCAGGTTTGTGCCACCTACTCTGAAACCACTGTAATTGATTGGACGAATGACTAATGACCACAATATATCAACAGAACACGTTACCACCAGCGTGCGCTAAAACTGTAAATATTTCACTGTATTCTTGCATATCTAGTAGACTAGTGCAAAAACACTATATTTCAGTGAGTGTATTATACTAAATGCTTCAGTGTCTTCAGTGTCACATAACCAAAAAAAACAAAAAACAAAACAAAAAAAACATTAAAAAAAAAAAACAACCCAACCAACCCAAGACCCTCTGCAATCCATGAGTCTGTTTTTTTTGTTTGTTTTTCAACAGGTTTTGGACACTGCACTCAGGAAAACCAAAAAGAAAACCTTTGGACCCAAGACCGTCTGCAAGCCATGAGTTTGTTTGTTTTTGTTTGTTTTTTTTAGTTTTGCAATTTCAGAAAATTCCTATGCCCATCATGTCTGGCTCATAGTCATCCTTTTATCGTTCAATTTGCTTCTGTGCTATCTTTCGAGCCCTTCAACACTCTATGGCCATGGAGGTGGAGGGCGATAATATGTCCCTGAGCGATGCCATCGCAGCGACCCAGCACCTCACGCTGCGAGAACTTCCAGCTCATGTTCATGTTGGCCCTCTACCGGTCGGTTCGGTCACTCCGATCTGTCTACCTTTGAAGGAGTTTCTTGTCTGTCTTCAAGTGTCATCGAAAGTCGATAGGCCATACCCCATCACATGTGATATTTGTGCATGATTCTTTCTTATGCTTCTCAGGCTTTCGGACTCTACTCCTTCAATCAAGCACTTCGTTGATTTGATCTATGATGTCGAGCCCTCCTCGATCGACATGGACAATCTGAAAGCCATCATCAGAGACAAGGCTTGGCAAGAGCTTCCTGAAGCACTTACCTTGAAGGAACGCCCCACGTTCTCTTGCTTGTCCCAATTTTGTTTGCTTCCACAAGCCAATGGGAAACTATGTGTCCTCAAGCATTACTACGTCAAGAGTGACAAAGTCAAGGGCGCATATGTTGCCAAGCTCGTGCGTGGTCAAGGCAAGGAGATTGCTTGGGCCTCCCTCAACAAACAGCAAGCTCGCCGTGGCTTCCAGTGGATGTTGGAGTGCCTGGGTGGGCATCAGTTTCGTCACTTCTCTCTTTCCGCTGAGAAGGTCCGATCCAACAAAGCACGTGCCCCTCAAGGAGAAGATGAACAGGATGCAGGATGGGACTTCATCATCAGCAACGGTGAGAGAGACAAGGAGAACTTGAAGCAGATGCGCTGGATCCATCGCCACATCCAAAAAGAAGGTTCTCCGATCCATGGTTGGAACGAGAAGTTGGTTCAGAGAGCTCTTGATTGTCTTGCTAATGACGGATGTCTGGCCAAATTGTCTGACAGATATGATTTGACCATCCAAGCCATTCAGCCAGAAATCTTGACCATCTTGGAAGATCTCTTGCCTCATCTTCGTGGACATTCCCTGTGGCTGCTCGGAGAGTCCGGTGTCGGCAAAACCCCTCTCGCTCGAATTCTTTCCATGATGTTTTCGCGATATCATGGAGGAAGTGGTCAGTTCAGGTCAGCCCCGGAGTTTGATTTCTTTCGTGGCATCTTCTTCGACAAGGCCACGCCTGCCATTTTTGACGATGGTGAAATCGGTAATGAGACCATCAAAAAGAAAAAGGCGTTCTCAGATGTGGGAGATTCTGAGACCATCCTGAAAGAAAGGCCGGGCTCTGCAATGTCACATCACATGTGCAATCCACATATTGTGTTTTCCCTTGACATGCATGTCTGTGAATGTAAATCATTAATTTTCTTGTTCGTGATGCATCAGCTTCGCATCGTCGTAGACAACCAGTACAACCCAGAGGGTCAAGAAGGCGATGTTGATGGTGTTTTCTCAGCAGAAGTCTCCCATGAGTCTTTCATGAAGCTGGTCCGTCCAGCCGTGGGCTACATCGCCAATGCCGATGCTATGGCAATTCTGAAAAGGGCTGCCTTCATCGTGTTTGCTGAGAAGTACATCTATTTCCGACCACCCACTGAGAAGCATGTCAAGGTGCAGCGTGTTTTTTGGACCAACTCAGATTCAAAGGACATTCTTCTTCCAGATTGCAAGCCAACCCTGAAGAATTGGAAAAATGGTGGGCCTCAGCCGGATACTTATTCCGCATCTTTGGCATGGGAGACTGAATGGTTGAAAGAGCTATTCCGTCGACATGATCATCCTGTACGTCCTGCTTCGCCAGCTTGTCCTGCTACTCCTTTGACTTCCACGCCTGGTTTGGATGCGTTGCTTCGGGCTGATGGGGCTTTGCCTGCTGCACCTGCTTCTTCAAGGCCGGCATCGAGTTCATTGTCAATTCCTCACCCTGCCCCTGCTCTTTTGGTTGGCGTACCCAAGTTGGAGCCAGCCGAGCATCCGGATGCGCATGCATGGTTGGCCACAGCGACACGTGGAGATCCTGTGGATGTAGACACAGATCGTGCAAGTGCAGGTTGGACCGTTAAGGAAGAGCCTTCCTTGAAGTTCCAGAGCCTTGCCTTTACCTCTAGTGAGCCCATTGTCTTGGACACACCTTCCCCGCCACCACACAAGAGACAGAGAAGGACAGAAGACATTCCCAATCCGGACACTTTGCCTGGACTTCATCCTCCCTCTGATGACGAAGATCCGATGCCTCGCGTTGGTGCTGCTCCTGACTTAGAATATGGAGGTCCTGGCTGCCAGAATGGCTTCAAAGATGTGTGCTTGATCATGGCCATGCAAAATATTGGTCTTCCGGTGGTTTGCGATCAAGATGGCCCATTCTCAGTTTCCTACGGCAATATAGTCTGCTACTTCCCTTTGGCGTCCAACTGTGTCAGAAGCATTGTCGAAAGTCTTTGCCTTGCAGCATCGAGAAGGTTTGCTCCTCAAGAAGGATGGTGAGGTCACCTCAGTGGTGCCTGCTGGTGTGGCAATGGACATGTTGTCATCTGACCAGTACACCTTCTACTACTTGCGAAGGCAATCCTACTCAGCATTAGTGACCTTGGATGCTGTGGGAGGTTCTAGTCCGCAGACTTTCACATGTCCTCTGAGCAAGTGTGTCTGTGAAGGTTGTTCTGGTTCCCTCATCTACCATTTGTCCGTCGATGCCGTGCTGTACGATTTAGATGGTCCTCGAAAAATCGTCCACGTGCAGAAGAACTGGACTTCCCGTTCTTGCCGGGCTTCTTATGGCTACAACTATCGCTGGGAAGCAGGCAAGAAGGTGAACGTCCTTGGCATGAAGGATTTTCAGGACAACATTCTGTTTGTGAACTCGAAGAAGGCCTTTTCTTTGAAATACATCCAGTATCATGAAGAACTTCTGTTCCGTGGTCATCTCTCAAGTGCTGCTGTGTCGTGCGCTTACCACGTTGTCCACGGAGATTCCCAAGAGTCAATCCTTCAGAACTTTGACAAGCTGCATGCGTCTGCGTTGTTCTACTACATGGCTGTGAGGGAGTTCGAGTTGTTGGGCCTGCATCAGGAGATCATGATCGAACAGGAGATCCAAGATACCCATCTTGACCTCTACGATTCCTTTTGCCACTCATCTACCTTTCCTCCACACAAGCGTCAGCAGGTGAAGACCTTAGTCCTTGATGGAAACCAGAAGCTGAAGATGCAGTGTGATATGGCGCCAATGAAGCGCGCAGGCCGTCCTAGGAAGTCTGAGCACACCACCGGGCACTACACCAATGGCTGGATGCTTGCGTGTGATCCGAAGTCCGGTCGCATCATCAGCTTGCAGGTCATGCGTGAGCCTGAAGGCAACGAGGTCGCAACTCTGGCTGTGGAGAACGTCATCTGGTTGTACCCCAAACTGGATTGCCTTGTCTACGACAGAGCATGCGCTTTCAAGTCATGTGGGGAGTCGAATGAGGCCTTGAATCAGATCGGCTACTATGTCGTGGATGGTTTTCATTCTCATGGTCATTCGCGAACCTGCCCTTGCAATCCTCGTGTCCTGTCTTTTTGTTTCAACACCAAGTCAATCAATATGGATTCTGTTCTATCGAGACGACCACAATCATTTTTTGCAAGTTTATTGAGGCACATGTTGTTGCATTAGTCCTTATGAATGTGTCGTTTTGTATAGTTTCGTATTTACTCTAAATCAAGCCTACCTAGGCTACCGCAAGAAGCTGGAGAAGCGCATTCACAAAGAGAACACTTCGATCTGCGAACAGGTCTTCTCGTGGTTCCGCAACTTTTCCCCTATCATCAATGAGATGCGAGCCCACCGGCACAAATTCTTCTTGTTGCTTCTGTCCAAGCGTCACAACGAGTCCATTGAGGGTGGCAACATTCGGTATTTGCATCCAACTCGCCTGCCAAACCTCTTCAAGAATGCGAAGTCTGTCTCATACCTATGTGGCAAGAAGTCCAACACGAAGAATGCAATTGGCAAACCCTTGTCTGGCAACAAGATGGTCATGAAGGGCAAGTCCATGAAGAGTAAGTCCATGAAGTACAAGAAGTGAAGAAAGCTGAGGGACCATCTGTAGATCTAATCTCATGGGACAAGTTCTGTAGAATATAAATATTTTTGCTATGTAAATCCTTCTATTTGGTGGGTTGCTATTAATTAAACACACTAGTGCATATCAGTAAGATTGCTATAGAATCTCTATTGAAATATTGTTGTTTGTTGGAAGTCCACATGAGAAGTTTTGGCTTTGGTATGAGCTGAAAACTTTAGACAGCAAGATTTGGCAGCTTGAAGTGCTTAAAAAAGTGCACGCTCACAGTGACGAGCTCTCTATATCAATATATATATATTAGGCTCGTGGACATGCCTTACAACATCTGCAAAGTCTGAAAGCTGTCCATACTGACGAGGATCTATGGTTGTTTAAATCTTATCCATCGTGCTATTCACAATGTTGAGGCAGCCTTAACATCTAGAACGTCTCAAACCTGACTGGGCAGTGGCATATGAGGAAAATAGTATAGTTTTGTGTGCATGCTGTATAAGTGTATATCTTTGCACATATATATATATGCATATATAAGGGTGCGCTATCTGTTTATTATACATTCTCACGGGGCCCCGAAAAGCACGCGCGCCCATATATATAACGTGTTTTGCGCAATTGGGGTTGCGAAAAAAGCGCGCCTGGGAGCAAAACCCAGGATTTTTGTTTGTAAGGACTTCAATGTTGAAGTAACCTGCGTTAATCCCAACCAGTTTGAGGTCACGGAACGTTCTACGAGTGCAATAAATGTTTCATGATGAGACAGTACAATCTATGACAGAATCCGTTTGTTCTTGTTTTCCGTCCGGATCAGATTCCATTTTTTTGAACGCCCATCCCGTGCGAATCCACAGGGTTTCGGCTTTGGAAGATCACCATGTCCAGGTTATCAGGTTGTCGGACCAAGCAAAAACAGATCAATTATAGAGAATACATGGCACAATTTCCAAGTTCCGTGGGTTGGTTTTTGCAACCCCATTTAAAAGTCCTGTTGGGGTGCTAGTGGCATTTACTTTGAAACCAGAAGATTTTCCATGGTCCTGCGCAAAGAACCGCGGATCTTCTACCAGGAGGGCGTCTCCGAAAACAGCGATCTAAGGCTCCAATCCAGATTCGCCTTGCGCCACACTTCGCAGAGCCACCTGGAGATTTGCATGGGTTGGGGGGTGCAAGTCCTTACCTTCATGGATGGTATGGATGGGGAGATTGGGAGGCTGCCAGGCGCGTTTTTCACTTCGGTGTTTCAGGACTCCCCCCACCACTAAGAAACACGGGTTTCCTTTAATTGCAGTCTTTTGGTCGTGGATGCCAGTAGGAACTGGATCCTCAAGGAGGCTTCATATGCGTGGTGGCTGCAGAAGCCACCAGCAGCAGAAGCCACCAGCAGCTTGCCCCGAGAAGACCCGTTTGGCCCTTCCCTTGGGACGAGCGCCAGAGGTCGGACCCCAACACCCGGTTCCTTCTTAGCCAAGACAACAGAGCTCACACTTCCCAAGGCTGGTGAATGGACCTCCAGTCCCCCTCTAAGGGGGAAAGTCATATGGCGTTGAAATTGGGTCATTCCAGGACCGCGTTTCTGAATTTCCAGATCTGTGGAGCACACCTCGTCCGGAGGTTGCTGACGACTTACCCAGAGTGGCAAGTTCTCTTGCGGATCGCTGTAGGCGCCGGATCCGCCGGACAACAGATCCGGCCCGATCGGTGTCATCGACAAGCCGATCAAACCAGAAGGGTATAGCAAGTCACGCGTTCCTGGGTCACACAAATGTACCAGACGATTCAAAAGGGCGTCCAATGATTTTGTTTAAGGGGTGTCCAATGGTTTTTAGCTTAAGGGGCGTCCAATGGACAGGACTTCGACGTACCTGGTATATTCAAGGGGGGTGTAACAGTTGAAAGACTGGGGGTCCCCCCTGAGTTCGACCCGATGATTTGGTCAGCATGTGTCGCGGACTTCATTGTGATGGAGACAGCCTGCATCAGTTTCCTCCAGTACCATTCCCATGGTCGAAGTCAATTTAGGGTCGTGAGGGCAATTGTGGCTGGTGATCAGATGCGAACCTTGCAAACCTCGCGCGTTCACTACGGTAAGGACACTCCCTTAAAGGAAGAACCAGTTGTTTTTGTTTTCTGGAATGGCACTGAGCCAACAACTGATTCCATTGGATTTCAGCTCTTCCCTGGTTATCAGGCCACCCAATTCCATTGGAACATGGAAGGTTTTTGTTGCCCATATGTCCGTGAGTTCTGCTTCTCGTTAGCCACGTCCGACGTCCGCGTCCGCAGGCAGCTCCCCGACATCGCTTCGTTTTGGGGCCGAAGGCCTTGACTTACAAGGCCCCGGGGTGCTAAGCACGTGCGCGCGAGGCTGGCAGGTTGGCCAAGGCACGAGGTGCGGAGGAAGGAACGAAGATAGTGGCACGTGCGCTGGAAGTGACCCGGAAAACCCTGGAAAACAGTGCTTATGTAGTTCGTTTTTTTCTGTACTTCGGGGTGTGGTACTGGTCATGATGCAGGATTTCTTCTAACATCTTCCAACAGTAAGGTTCCAACTATACACCTTTGCTTGGCAGGTGCTTTCGTGACTGGGGTTGGCAGGCCAAAAAAGCAAAGAAATTTCCTAAATAGATGAAAGTTCCTTCCAATCCCCGCGTAGAACATGTATTGGACAACCGTGCGAACCGGTCATCTCCGTGACCATTCATCCTTTTTTTGTTGCACCTGGCAATTTAAACCTTAGCACATCCTATAGATTCCAAAAGCATATCCGGTGTTTTCACACATGGTGAAGTTTCCACGTGATCCGACTCCACATGGCAGAGCTAGAGCTGTTCGTTCATGTCGGAGCTATGGAACGAACAACTCTCCAAATGCGGTCTTTGAATTCGCTCAGAAGTACCCAGCATTCATACAAACTGCCAGGGGTGCTTCACGATCATCTTCTCTCCCCAAGAGAGGGTGGTTATTGTCAGTTTCGATGCCTTCCCAATCTAAATTGCTCGGGTTTCACATCTGGCCGAGAGCCCTAAGGCAGCCTCCCGCCATTGATCCTGGCAGCCATCCTGGAGGTGCGTAGCAAACCCGCGGATTTCAACACGGGGCCGCTTAGGGTCGGTTTCCTTGGTTGGTTGGCTGAGGCTTATGACCTTTGTAAGGTCTTAGAACGTGATATGGCTGACAGATTGAGTTTATTCAGTAGTTGTATAATTCAATTTGTGGCTGCTAGGAAGCTCTGTTTGAATGGGTCCTGAATTCGAACTGAATTCTCCGTGAACCAAACCCTTGAGATACCAAGTTCTATCCACTTTCTTAAGCCAGGCATTTTTGGTAATGATGCTGGAATTTTTGGCGGCATGGGAACTCTACAGTGCAAAAGACAGTCACAATCCGGTCTTCATGAATTTGCATGCAACCTGGTCTATAGTATTGAGACTGTCAAGTCAATAGAGTTAACTTTCAATCCAACATACCAAACCTTCAATCCAACAGACCAAACCTTGACAGAGTGACAGAGTGCCAAAGTTTTGACCTTTGCAGATACTGTATCTCAAGTTCATCATCCGAGGGGCAAAATGGAGGAAGCTGAGGATCAATTGACCGGATACAAATGTTCACAACAATGTCGCAATGGAAGGGGTCATATATATGAAGACTTAGTGAAGGTCCAGGTCTGGGATTCTTTCCCTGCAATCCCTCCTCATTGGACTTTAAGCGATTCGCTCCTTGAGATCTCTCCTCATGACATGGGACCTCTCCTCATGAAATGATTTAGTCTTTGGGAGCCCTCCTCATGATGAGATTTAGGACCCCTCCTCATGCAGAGCTTTAGTCTTGGCCTTTGGAGGGGTTATCAATCCGACCCTCACATTTGACTTATATATCCTGACATATCCTGACTGTTTGCTATGTTTTGACCCATCGTCGGATCCTTAGGGTGAGTAGGGCATACGGTTGGGGTGTCTCACTCTTAGAATGCGTCTATAACAAAGGTCTTTGGGTTGTTCCAGTCACTGGTTGATTTCTGTGATGAGCAATGGAGAAATCTTTGGTCCAAGTTTGAGGGCAAAGGACATGACAAACTTTAGCGGGATTTCCCAGCTGTGTTTGTCCACCCTATTGTTGGATGCCATCATGATGGAATATATATTGTTGAATTTTATATATATATATATTTGTTTTATTATTTGCATCTCACATCAACAGTGATATTTGGGCGCTTCAGATCACTCAATGGCAGCAAACTCATTGTTCTGAACAAGGGTTTCAATGTTGATGTTAGATGCCGCTGCTGTCGCTCATGACGAAAGATCAGGTGTGTCCCAGTAAGCCTGTAACAGTCGGCAAGATAAAATATATCACTGTTTGAAATGCCTGCAAACTGACCATCATCATCCATTGTGGCTGGTAGTGGGATATATATATATATTGTATAATATAGTTCCTATTTTGTAGCCAATGTCGTGTTGGCCACTATTGGGCAAATCCCTTGAGCCTCCCCCCACACAGCCTTCACAGCGGGACGGGAGGCATCGCCAGTGTCCGCTCCACACTTCCGTGTCGGGAACTCCGAGCACTTGGCTGCGGAGATGGTCGCGCACATGCGCAGCACACGCGCATCGGAGCCTGGATGTGAATGGGAGGGGGTTGGCGTGACTGTTGCTGGTGGGTTGTTTCTGACTAGTGCGAAGCTAAGGGTTCAGTATGGTGTAGTCATACTGGCGCCCATTTTACATGGTTTTCAGACCCCTGGACATAGACATGTCGGGTGGTTTTGAGCTTGCCGGATCAGAGGAGATGAGTCAAGACTCACCTCGGTGCGCCCCAGGATGTTCCTGTCTCAGGACGACGCAACCAGCGTGGTGTCGTTGGGAAGGACATTTGTGGATGCCTGGTGGGAGGTTGCTTGGCAGATACGTTTGGGATCCATCCGTGGGTGGGGGGTAGGTGTAGCCACCGCTGTTGTGGCCCAAACCGGAGGTTTTCACACCATCAATCATACGTATAATTAAGATCTCATAAGACGGATGAAGACCAAGATATCGAGACCGTGACAGTCATAAGACGGATGAAGATCTAGTCCCAGTGGCACAACTTCGGTCTCGAAAGGTCGTCCCCTTTGCTTCCCCCGCCGAGGTTCCTGAGGTTCCTGAGAGGTCCGTAATGTCTCTCCATGAAAAAACATCCTGATTTCAGAGGTGTCTGGTCCGGGTAGAGAAAGAATCGACCACTGCATAACGTCTTGGGGGGGCTTCCATTCCCAGATGCTTCCATATAATATATCATGTCACTATGGTTACATGGAGGTGGTTTGGATCGATGTAGGATATGTCCAGCACCTTCGAGTATTGGGATAGATGACCCCAATTTCTGCAAGTGCTGAGTCCTCAGGTCACCCTGGAAGATCCTCGTGCTGGCTTTGACGAAGCGCTGCCGCTCGAGGCCAGGTGGATCCCCGAGTTTTCGGCGCGTCGGAGAACGAACACCACGGGCTTTCCGTGCTGACTTTGGCACTGAGGAGGTGTTGGTGGCTCTGGAAGTTGGAGGATGTGAAGCCAGAGTGACCTTGAGATGTTTCAACATGGCAGTTCGTGGTGAGCCGCATCCCTTGCAGCTGGGCCTGCGCCAAGGTGTTTCATTTCCCGACCCAAGTGCTTGGTCGAAGGGTAGAGTCTAAGGAGATGAACAGCGCTTGTTCAAAGGGTGGCAGGGTGAGGCCCCAAAAAATCGACCGGGTTTTGATTGATCAGCCCGTATGTTGTGGCCATGTGTTTGCTGGAAAGTTTTTTGGAGCTTTCAGATTCCCTCATGAAGAGGCCTGACCTATGGAGATCTGCGTCGTACAAGATCATACAAGATCTAAAAGGATGCAAAACAGCACCTGAAATTACTCCCCAGGGGCTCCAGGTACATCCTGAGAAGGCGCTTGGAGTGGCTTTGAAGGGGTCCAAACACAGAAGTCCATTGGAGCCCCACCTCGGGCGCTTCGACTTCGCTCCACTCCAACGCGTCGAGCCGCTCGCTGTCAGGTCCAATGCACCGCTGATCGACCGGGACTATCCCGCTGGCTTTCATTTGATCCGCCAACATGTGGGCCACCGGGCCCGCACCATGGCAGCCAGAAACAAAACATCGTGGCTAAGGGGAGCACGGGCAGGCCCGTGTGGTTGAGACATGTTGAAAGCTCGTTAGAAACCTATCTACCAGGACCCCCACATCAGGGGGGGTCTAATAATGGCCCCGGGCATATAATAGGTGCAGGTTTCAATCTCTAGTTCTGACATTTTTTGACATATATATGTGAAAACACGGGCCGATCGGCCCAGTCCTAAGGGATCCTACCCTTCCAACCGTGCGGCCACTTTTCTCCGCTGTTCGGCCTCGAACCAAAGGTGCCTGAAGGAACGGCTCGTCCTGGTGACACTGCTTTTACACTCCAACTACTTTATACGAAAATGCTCATGCATCCTCTGGCACAAACTTCGAAGCTTGGAGCATTTGTGCAGCTGTCTTTTCATGACCACCAGGAATTACCTCTTTTCACGCTTCTCGCAGCTATTGGGGTATGTCTTCTGTGGATCACTGCTGTAGCCCTTGGAGTCGGCGAAACGGATGGCCTCAAGGTAGCAGGCAAGGTCTTCGAACTTTCCTCCACGGCCTTTGCCGTGCTGTTGGATCCATGTCAGGTATCCGTGATGATCACGGCTGGCAACAAGTTCGGCATATGTCATGCCTAGCTTCTGAACCTTGGGGAGCCTGCAGATCGTCGTGCTCCAGTCGGCGATGCACGAGATTCCCGGTGGTAGTACCACCGAAGTCTCGGGCTTGCTCGTGATGGGCTTCTGGTCATTCATCTTGTATGGGTTGAGACGATCCTCACACATGGGTTTTTCTGGCTCTGAGTATGCCACGGGCTCCCATTGCTCATCTAGCTCAATGTCACGCTGGTCGCGGAGCCGCTTCGATGCATCACTCATCGAACCTCCGGTGGAGGAGGATTGGCCAGTTTGGGAAGCCACCCCAGCTCGGTGAGCTCGAGACAACACGGCCTTTGCGGCCTCATACTCCTCAGGTGTCACTGGAGTATTGCTCGAAGCCATGACACGCAAGGATGAGGTGCTGGTTGATCACCCTCGCTTGCTGCTCGGAAGCTGACGAGAAGCAAAAATGGCTCACGGATGGTTGAGAATTTGAAAACCACGTTCCTCAAGCTTATCTCATGGATTTTAGAGGCTATTAACAGTGTTTGCACTGTGAACTTATGGGAGAGGTGCGTTAACTAGCACACGCAAGACAAAAACATTGCATCAAACGAAAATGACATTCTCCCTGCTTCAACATGTCTTTCTGAGTGTCCCCATTGACACTCCACACAAGTGTACAAAGCATGAATGTCCAAACTGAAGGCGTGGCGGCAAAAACAAGAAAGATTATTTCTAACTTGATCGAATTAATTCTGAGTCTTCTGACTCTGCTCCTTATTGGCTCGACTGCTGATTAGCTGCCTGCGTCGTTCTCGTTCGTTTTTCTTTCTCTCGAGGACAGCCTGTTCATCGGCCAGTTGATAGCGAGCGGATCTCAGGACTGAGCGCAGCAGGTCTATTGGGTCGGCTTTGTCTTTCGTGAGACCATCTGCCAGCATATGAGTGGTGGGTACCCACCTGGGCTCTAAACCTGAACGCTGCATGGACTGCTTGATGATCGCAATGTCGATTGCAGTTCGTTTGTCTCCTAAGACACCCCCTTGTCCCAGCGACACGAGATGATCGTATAGCGATCGGCAGTCGGTGATTCCGATCGACGAGCGTCTGCTTAAAACCCTTTCGGCTTCCTCTAGTGCAAAAGGACCATCTAGGCATTCTGCTAACATTAAACTGACCCATTCGCAGACCCCTGCTGCTGTGGAGAATGCCTGAGCTTCTCCGCCCATGGTCGATGAGACGACTCGTGGAAGGCGATATGATTTCCAAGCAAAACAATGAACGGGGACATCAGCACCGTGCCGGATTTTGTTGGAAGTAAACGAAACTAACCAACCACCTTGGGTTTTGAGTTCAGTGGAATTAGCAAAAGCTGCATCGGACCAAAAACAAAGTGAAAGCTCTTTCACGGGAATATATGGCACCCTCAATTTCATGTCGGCTTGCTGCCGTGCCCGCCTAACGGCCTGGTTGGCCTGGAGAAGGTCAAAAACCGTTGGCTTCGGGAAACACTGCTGACTCATCGAGGTCTGCACTGCCACGTCTGGGCGAGTCTGAGTGCTCAGCCAACTCAAGGCACCATTGACGGCTCGAAGTGCCGTCACTTCTTGAGGATTTGCTGGGAGCCAGGTTCGCTTGGCACGTTCCTTGCAGATCTTGATGGGTCGAATATGTTCTGCATACTCCTGTTGACAATAGGAGATTTCTTTGGTTTGTGGATCTTGTTCATAAACTGTGCCTAGGAATTCCCCAGTCCCGGACCTCCATTTCCTGAAGGGAAATCTGTCCCTCAGCTTCTGAATTGCGGCTTCATAACAGGGTCCTTCTCCCCCGGTAATGGTGTCATCAACGTGAGCCCCAAGCACGCCCTCGAGGTTACCATCAGAACCAAAACAGAGGTACAAGCAGTTATCAAACTTGCTCTTCACAAACCCTGATGCAGTGGCGACTCGGTCGAACTCACAATACCATTCATGAGGAGCGTCATTTGCCCCATAGATGTTTCCCAACACTTGAACCAACGAACCCGGTTCAACTCCGGGAACTCCGCCCGGAGGCAGTTCGGCGTATACCGGATTGGCAAGTGCTTTTTCTTCGACATCGGCCTCTGAGAATGCTCCTTTTATGTCTCCCAAGTGCATCACCCACTGGTGACTCACTATCATTTGTAGGACTAAGCTACGGCCGAATTGAGACAATGTCGGCGAATGGCACTTTCCGGCAAGCACTTTGCTGAACAAGTCGGGATCATGATGGCCACGAAGACACCACCTCGCTTTGATCTTGCTGCTGCCGTCTTCTGTTTTCTCGATGATTACGAATCTACTAGTCATGATCCTATCAGGTTTGTTTGTGCGGATTCGATCAGCTTCACGAGGAGGAATCACTTTCAAAGCTCGTTTCTCGTCTCTCAACGTGGTCCATTCCGTGGTCTTGGACAGGTCGATTTGTTCTTGAAGTTCAGGAGGATTCTTGGAATGGTGTAATTCTTTTTGCATTTTCTTTTGAAGAAAACTGGCAATCAAGACCTCGACACACGGCGCTGGTCCACTCTCACGAGCGAGCTCCGAAAAGAGGCACTCATCACCCTCGGATTCGACTCTTGAGGACTTGTTCGACACATTTGCTTTGCCTTCCGGGGAAAGACTTCTTTTGGTTCCATGCGATTCGGTCAACATCTCTTGGAGGTCATCGATTTTTGTTTCTGGGGGACGAATCAGGAACAGTGGTGGACTCTTGTAGTGTTGTCTCAATCTGACTGGTCCGTATTGTTGAGACTCTTGGTCACCAGCCTCTTTCGGTTCGAACGGAGCTGACCGGGGAGAGGATGGAGATACTGCACTGCTGGACGTTACTGCTCCCGGAAGGACTTCTTGCATGGATGTGTCAACGACGGGCGTTGAACTGGCTTCGGCCGGCACTGCGCTTGCCGTGCCTGGACTGTCAGTCCGGGCCCTTTGTTCCCTGATCCTGAACTGTGACTCCCCCGTCCATGGTGTTTCCCCCCAGACTGTGACTCTGTGTTCTGGTGCGGACAGGACCTGATGCACTACACATTCTTTAGTGTCTTCGTTGATGGTCTTTCGATAGTTCTCAAGGGACAAACCTCGGAGTTCGGGGTCATTTGGATCAGGCATGAACGTCTCAGTTCGCGGAATCCGATGCACTCGGCACAGGAGGCCACCTCGACGAATCCAGTGATCTTCACAACTAGCAGTTTGATTGTTCAAGGCTGCAACTGGTGTGGGGGTCCCTGTGAGATCCGTGAACTGATGTCCAAAGGGGTTTTTCTCTCCCTCCTGCAGCAAGGCACTGAGTCCTAGGAGCTCTCTGCCCTCAGTTTGGGCCATAACCCGCTCTTCGGGGGATGCATGACGAAGGTGTTCGGGGGCTACCTTGAATATGTTCTTCCTGTGGTAAATCAAGAAGTTGCGACCGATCTTTCCCATGATGATTGCCACCCCAAACCAACGACCCCCTACCAAACGGATGCCTTTCTCATACTTTTGGGTTCTCCAGTAAGCAACATAGTCTCCCGGAAGAAAATCCCGTTCAGCCCGGGGTCGAGCATTGAGCGCTGTTCGAAGAGCTTGGTCGTCCTGAGCCATGACCAGTGCAGTCCGTGCCTGAGTGCGAATTGCCTGAGCTCTGGCTGCCATTTCATCATGCAGAGGTGCGGTTCCGGCAACAGGACACGGCCATTCTTGTATCAAATCACTAGGTACCCGGGGATTACGCCCGAACACCAGCTGGCAAGGAGACAAACCCTTCTGATTCAACAACTCATTCTTGGCATTGAGTGTTTGGACAATGCACTGTTCATACTCTGCTCTATTCTTGGGTTGAGCTTGATCTAATACCTTCTGCAAGATAACCTCGAATAGGTGTCCATGCTTTTCTACCTTACCTAGCTGAGAATGAGCCTCCGCCGCACTGGTGATCATGCGAGTCCCATCTTGTTCCAATTGCTGGAACACAGCTTCAGCGGTATTTGTTTTCGCTGGGTCGGTGATGACTTCCACTGGAATGCCGGCCCACCGTTGCCAAGTCTCTCTGAACAAGCGACGAAGGAGCTCATTGGTTTCTTTCTCATAGAACGGGACCATAACTTGGAAACTGGTGGCGAAATCGATGATGTTCAAGCATTTAATCTGTTGGTTCACCTGCCATCCTGGTAAGAGTTTGACGTCCCATCCTACCCTATGATTGAAATCCAACGGCTTATCCGGACTGACTGGCAAGGCTGGTGTCGGCTTCTGTCGATTGATGCAAATGTCGCACGCACCTTCGACATGCTCGGCGGCTTGCAAGGCCTCTGGAGAACCCCCGGCATTCTTCAGAACACGAACTAGAGTTCTCGTAGAAGGATGTCCTAAATTGTTGTGTAACTTCTTCACTAGTGTCTTTACCTTCTCTGGGTCTTGCACTTGAGCCGCGGCACACACTTCATGGTTTTGTTCATCCGTCAGCTCCAGCCCCTCACTTGACAAACTCTCCTGCAGACACGCGAACAGGCACAGGTTCCAATGGGGTCGAACACAAGACATCCATGTCGCTACGAACTCATTGGTATATGCTGCACAATGGTTACTACGGCACATGCCTGTGTGTGTATGTCCGGCAATGATCTGGTGTGTTTTGTGATGTTCCGGTCCTGGACACTGCAAGGCCAGAGAGGCCATGTCGGGATGCGAGACAGCAAGACCGGTTGTCTTGAGGATCGGCTGACCATTGTCTGGGTCCTTCAACTCATATGCGCACATGTTGGCGCGGTGCACCACAAGCTGATTTGACTTCAGCAGCTTGGCCATGGGTGGATACTTCCAAAGGTCACTCGCCCAGGGGTGTTCCACCAACACACGACCACCACGTTTGATTTGCCTTTTGATCTGTTGAATACAAAAGTCAGCTTGTCTTTGGGCAATGCGCTCATTTTGCAGTTGTTCCAGCAAGGGAAGTCGGGTCTTGTTGAGCCGGTACCAACCCCCCCAATGTTTGCATTCTGGACAACACACGAGGAGCTCGGGCTTCTCATCTTCCAGCTGTTGATCGACCTGTTTCTGTACGGATGTCTTCAACAGATCCCAGCCCTGCTTGATGTCGTAGGACAACCCTTTCTCTCCCCGTTTTGCAGCATAGTCACTGAACCGTGGCGGTGAGAACAGCTCGGCCACCACACATGTGCTTTCAGTCTTGTTCCAAGCTCGATGTTGAGCCAGGAGACATCGCTGCTCACGTGTCGTGCACAAGCGAGTGGGCCCAGTCTGCCACTGTTCTGGACTCGATGGAGATGTTTGCTCCTGCTCCACCACCAAGGCCTCGTCGGAGTCCATGAGATTGAGAATGAACTGACCTGCTTCATTCAACTGTAGCGGATGGGGCTCCCCGCCCTGCATGGCAATGGTTCCCTCCGAGAAGTCGAGGACAGCCCTGAGGCTCTTCAGCGTGCTTCGATTGAGGAGGAGTGGAGCGCTGCCTCGGATGACAGCAGCGTCTATTCGGCCTCTGCGGCCGTGGATGATCACTGGCATTGACACCACCCGCTCTGACAGCTCCTCTTGTCCGTTGCCAAAACGAAACAGGTTTTGCTCCGAGCGAGAAGTGGGTGACTGCATGTGTCGCTCATGATACAGGCGTAAGAAAGCACCCAGAGTCTCCTGACCGATAAGGGTCCGACTGCAGCCCGAGTCAATGATTCCATAGCCTGGGGAGGACACAAGCAAAACCTCATGTGTCACAACAGCGGCTCCGTTGACCTTCTCCTTGTCTGCCTTGACTGAGGTGCTCGCTGCTTGGGGACAATTTCTTGCCCAGTGCCCGATCTGGTTGCATCGGCGGCAGCGAGAACGTTTCTGAAGGTCGGTCACCTCTCTGGAGAACTGCTTCTTGAGTGTGTTGGCTTGTTGGAACTTCCGTGTCTTCTGAAGCTTCGAGATTTCAGATCGACGCTCCTTCCATGTTGCTGCCAACACTTCAGCAATTTCGTCCTCCTCATAGATGTCGGAACTGGCTGTTGTACTGTCCTGTACTCCATGCTCTGCTAAAAAGGCCTCCAGTTCATCAAACACAACAGAATCGGGCCCTTCTGGCTCGGGAGCCGGCCCCGTCTCCGGTGGGATAGGTTCTGCTTCTTCATGATGAACAATGTAGGCTCCTCTTGTAGGTCGCTTGCTCACCCGAAAATCCGGGAAACAGCTGCGCATCGCAGCCACCACTGTTTCCAGCTTCAGATCTCCCTGTGTTTTTGCCGTCACGATGGCACGTTGATCGGACGACAAACCAGAGGAGTTGAGACACACCCAACCCCTGGCTTCCGACGGGAAATCCACAGCGACCTTACGGCGGCACTTGGAGAAGGCCTCCTGCACTCGGGAGCACCAGGCAGCAATGCTTTCCCCCTCAACTGCTTGCAATTCGAAAACCTCCTTGAGACACTCAGCCAAATGGTCATGAGCCAATTTGTCAGGGAAGCGTTCATCAAGGGCAGCCCAGATATGTTTATCTCCGTTCTCCTCACGCATCTTGTCAAGCGTGAGGTGTTCAACTGTCTCCAGGGCCAATCCGTCAAGCAAACAGAAAATGAAGGGGCCTCGTTGTCCCGGTTGCATATCCTTCATGGAGGCCAGTTTGGCCAGAGCCCACAACCTCCAGCGACGATACTCTTTGGGGTCCAGACTTTCACCGCTGAACCGTTTCATGCCAGCTGAACCATCACTTGAAGATGCCATGGCACAAAAGTGACACTGCTTTTGAGCTTCACCGTCTAACCTAAGACCGCTCTACCTGGATACCCCTGCCCCTGTGGGCAGGGGCTCCGCTACCAATGTGAAAACACGGGCCGATCGGCCCAGTCCTAAGGGATCCTACCCTTCCAACCGTGCGGCCACTTTTCTCCGCTGTTCGGCCTCGAACCAAAGGTGCCTGAAGGAACGGCTCGTCCTGGTGACACTGCTTTTACATATATATAGTTTCACACGTTTGTTTTCTCACCCCGTACTCATGACATCTTCAGACAGACCTGTGACCCGCTCCGGTCAACCTCTCGGATGATCAGGTTACTTGCGCTTGGCCGTTCATGGGGAAGTTCCTCGGCCGTACATGGAGTGAGATCGAAGACCTGGTCCACCCAGACCTGGTCCAACCGAGGACCGAGAACTGAGGAAATGCCCCTGTCACCCACATCCACGGCCCCTGGACAGGACGAAGCAAACCACCCAACTCCATTTGACTGCTGGTGGGGCCTTTGTGAACTGGCCCTTATTTTGGGGCCTATTCCTTCACTTCGGCGGACAGACCGTTCGAGCCAAAGCGCGTAGTTTTGGTTCGGAACCAGGTCCTGGACGAGGCAGCTCCGCCACGGCCGTGGCAAGAGGAGGGGTCGGTTCAGTACTTGTTCCAGTGGGTGAGTGCAGTGTTCTTCATCAAAACAGCCGTCCAGGGATGGGATCGACCCTTGGGTTTTGAGGCATCACGTTTCTCTGGTGACACTGCTGGGGGTCCGTCACTGGAACTCTCATGAAAACATACCACTTCATACCACCTGTGGCTGCACGTTCCTTAGGTGACACTGCTGGGGGTCGAGGCTTATTGCATGGACTTGTGGCAAGTCCCCTGTCTTCACCACAGCCTTCGAGCCGCGGAGCCCTGGCATCCGCGTTCAGACCGAGTGCCGCGAGGACGGGACGAGGACGATGGGTGGGATCCGGGCGTTCCCTTGTGGTGAGGGCGTTCCCACTCACTCCATGGGCATATAGACCGAAATTCACCCCATGTCATCCCGTTGCAACCACGACCCGGGCGACAGGTCAGACAGGTCACAGTCCTCGGTCTATCTCGGTCTGGGCTTCGTCGGTGACACAGCGAGGGTCCGGGTTGGGTCCGAGTGGTTCTTCTGTTTGTTGGGACACAAATCCGTTGAGAAACCATCGGTGGCATCCAGTGGACTCATGAGACACAGATTGAGATGATCAGCTCTCAGAATGTTTGCAATCTAATTAATTATATAGAATAATATTTAATATTAGAATATATATTAGAATCTATAGACTGACAATCAACGAAGCCACTGAGCCACTGTTGAAAAGAAGTCTCGTTTCGGAAAAAAAACACATTCATCCGGAAGACTCTAGAACTATATATGTTCCATATATGTTCCAGGACCTTCCCAGTGACCTAGCTTAAGATCCCAATGGCTGAAGTGTAAGTGACGGAAAAAAGGCCGCGACCACAAATCCTGGTCGAAGGTCACAATCCAAAACCAGACCATCCATACATGGAAGAGTTACACAAACATTCACCGACACTAATGTAGGTACACTCCCTGAAATAGGAAAATAGGCCCTGGAAGACCATGTTCCATCATTGTCCGAATGCCAAACAGGTGATTGTTCATTGCCATGATTGTTTCAGGGAGTGTAACTATTCCATACATGTATGGTCTGGTCCTGTTCGTTTTCGTTGTCCGATCCCAGGCAAAGATCTTTGCTGCGCAGCCGGCTATTGCCATGAAGGTGGACGGCCAGTACCAGAGCCCTGGACTGCTGTGCGTAGCTGTTGGGTATCATTTTTGGGATGTTGGAAGAAGTAGAACTTTGTTAAGGTGATGAAGCACGGAGGAACTACCAAAACAAGGCGGTGGCATGTGGTTGCATGTTACACTAACGGCGCGTACAGCACAAACGCGGAGGTAGGACAGCACAATGAACGCCACCCAGAAGGTAGGACAGTACCATGTGCCCACACCTTGCTGAACACAAACATCCACAAAGAGACAGATTGGAAAGAGCGAAAAAAAATCATGCCACTTCCCGATTGAACAACATGCATGGGCGAGATGGAAGAACCGCTGGGAAGAGCAACAAATCTATATCATTACTTCCGAGGTCCCTCCTATTCCAATAATTTCCCGAACTGGGTGAATCTGGGGAATTGCATTTTCCTTGAGCAAGTCCAAGACACCATGCCATGGGGTGCACCTGCGCACCATCGAAGACAAAGTGCTTTGGCATTGCCATTGGCCTGAGGAGCTTCAGCTATCAGACTTTGTCCAATGATGTCGAAGCTCTTTCAGTCCAGTTGCGTCAACGCTTTCCTCTGGATGCGGCCATCGAACACGGCGAGGATGTGATGCGACTGGGTGCTGATGTTGAGACTTCTCAACCATGCATGGACCATGACTTGCCATTTGCTTGGAGCCATTTGGACCCTCTACTTGTGCCCCTTCAAATGGACACAAGCTGCTTTGGGTGAAGGGTCATGTCATGTCCCATTTTCTAGGTTCCTTTAGAGGGTCCAGGTACTATGATGTGCTGGGCGCGGAGGATGTTCGCCACGAAGCGTAGGGAGATGATGGGAGGTGGCCTTTAATTGAATCGACGTTTAAGAGTTCATGAGGGGAAAGGCCACCTCCCATCATCTCCCTCATGCGAAAGGTATGTTTGACACCAACAGGAACACAAACAATGGGCGCAGGGTGGCCTTGCCGGCAATCGGGGTGGCCACTTCATAGACATTGACATGCGTTCACCGATGTTCACGCAAATGACCGCCAGCCCAGACGTTCAGACGTTGATAGTGCTTGTGCCCCATTGGTCAGAAAGGCTTTCGTGCTGTTGCATCCACCTGGGCATCCAAACAACGCCGTGTTGCACCAATGTGAGTCGGACGTGACAAGACCTTATTTGCCTGAAGTCTGCGGCATTTGCGGCATAGGTGCTATACCTGACCCTCAAACCATTTTGCTTCAGCATTCCCACCCACCTCAGCATTCCCACCCACCCACCCACACACACACACACACCACACCTCCGCCCCTTGCTCGGGCCATGGTAGCTGATCGGGAACCGTCGTCGAGGCTTGGATGGTGTGGCCCCACACGGGTGGAAGCTCTCCTACTCTTCTTGGCTTGCATGATGAACCAGCCTCCTGGTTCGGGATGGTGCAAGGTCCTTCGGTGCTTGGTAGGTCGGTCCGATCCACCCAGTCCGGTGTTTTAAAGTGATTTGCCTGGAGTCCCTGTCACTGACAACTAAGCCTTTTCCGCTAAAGACTGTGATGAATTGGTTGTTTTGGGGACCCCTTGACATACCACCTGGTTACTCTCACCTAGGAAGCTGCACCGCTCTATAAGGCTTGCCATGGCTTGCTGCTTGCCTATCCTCAGTTCAATACAGGCTTTGTGTAACCCCATTCAGGTGGGTGCTAGGTCGTGTTTTTGCTGCATATAGTGGAGGTGAGCATGTTCCTGCTGCTGGTGCATCTAATGCGTGCTGACTCCGTTGGTTTTCTTCTTTTTCGACCAGACACGGAGAACCCTGTGCATGTTTTTGCCAGGCCGGTGGTGCAGGAAGACCCGTTTCCTGTTTGGATCGCAAGAATTGTTCTCAGATGGTTTCAGTATCTTGGACTCATTCCAACCCTTCCAGCCGCTCAACACCTACACCCCACGCCCTGCCTTTAAGCGGCGCAAGCTCGCCCCACGCCACGCGAAGCACCGAGGTTGCAGCATCCTAAGTCGACTATCCCATTACGGCACCCCAGTAGGGTCCTACAAGGTAGACTCGTAGACTTCATGAACCCCCGTGTTTAAAAAGGTTGTTCAATCCATGTCTGGGGAGCGTTTGTATTGGTTTGTTATGTCCAAGAGTCTTCATTTCAGGTCACTGAAACCTCGTGACCACCGAGCTGCAGGTGGTGCTTCGTTGCCTTCCATCGCCACTCGCTGGCCGCCGAGCTGCAGTTGCTGCCCAAGTTGCAGTTGTTGGGAGTGGACGAGGCGGGACCAAACAGGTGGAGGAAACAGGATGAAATAGGGGTATGGAAAGAACTGGTTCCAGTAACCAGTAGAAGTATTACCAATTTTTTCTATGTCATTCTGTACATTGTTATGTGTTGTAATTATAGGGTGAGATCATATACATGATATTACATTTGTGCAGCTTGTGCACTAAGAATATCACATAACTTAACGGCTCTCCGTGTCCTTCATCCGACACTGCATTTTAGGTGCTGGCCAGGTTCCCAGGTGTTCGCGAAGACTGTTTCTGTTGCATGGCTTCAATGCCAGTGAAACTCCATCCTGCATGGCTTGACCCCGCATGACTTGCACGGAAAATGCATGACTGGCTCATGACCGGCTGGCTAGCTTGTGGTAGATACATACTGTACTACACTCCCGAAAACTCACATGGACCCTAAGACTGTTTTCCTCTACCTGCACAGTGGTTTTCAGGGTCCATGTTCGTATTCCACGGGGTAGGTCATGTTAAACCATGTTAAACCTACACGTTTTTGTTGACATCTCTGAATCTCGACACCAGGCTTTTGAGGCTGAGGAGATCAAGGTGCTCGAAAACGCGCACCAGGTGCTGGGGAGTCTCCAGGGTTTGGGGATTGGTTGGACCATTCGCGTTGACTGGTTGATGCTGGTTCATGGGTGCAAGCATGGTTGGTTGATTGATGTCGCTTGATGGTCGATGGTGTTTTCTTATTGTTACGATATTTGTTGTTTGGGTGGTTAGCTGGTTGTGCGGTTGGTTGGTGGATTGGTCAGTTGTTTCATTTCTCGTTGGTAGAGAGGCACCGAGAGAGAGGCAGAGAGAGAGAGAGAGAGAGGAGCGAGGGAGGGAGGGAGCTGGGGCTGGGGAGGGAATACCATCCAACAACAGCCTTGACTCTCAACCAGCTGAACTCAAAAAACTTCTCAAGACTTCGCTCAAAAAGCAAGTGCCTTTTTTCCAGAGGTTTCGCCGTTTGTAGGAAGCTACTTAGTTCCTAAGGGGATTTGCAATGTGGAACGCTCCAACGTCCAACTCCTCGCCAGGACGCCGCAGGACGTGGCGTTCTGTTTTCGTCGCCTCCTCTCCTGCGGCCTGCGGAGTTGCAGAGTATGGCCAGGACGCACGGGATTTCGCAGGGAATACATAAGGGCGAGCTGCCCCGTTACGAGACCTGTAGAGACCTGAGGAATATGTTCGGATCCAGCCATGGATGGCCATCCGGCCGGTGGTTCGTGCTTCATGGTCCGTCCGCAGGGAGCCGTTCTGTTTTCGGCACGGAACCAGGGTACGGAAGTGGTGCAGATCCTGAGACCGAAGATGTGGATGCCACTAGTTGGAATTAGTTTGGTTCTTGATGGGGTGGATGGATTCTGTCAGGTGTCCCATTTAACCGATCAGAGAGAGTCCCCATGTCACAGAACATCACTCTTTTAGGGATGTCGTCCTGCCACTGAACCATCATAATACCATCATATACCCAACGATACCCAACGGATCATCATATAGTTTCCCTTAGGCCTTAGGCTGGAAGCACGTCGAACAGCTATGTGACCTGAAGGTGTCTTTAATCCAGTGCCCTGGCATGCTGCATTGGACGGATCTGGCATGCGAGCCAACCCTTGAGACCAACCCAACGTAGGTAAACATGCCAGTCCCATGGAATGTTTGGGATAGGATAGGGTAGCTTCAGTGCCGCAGATTCTCAAAGACTATTAGAATACTCTTGATTTGCCTCACTGAAGCAGTTCCTTCCGGGTCACATGGGGTTCCATCCCATCACAAGCTCTCCAGGATGCACCAACCAGACACCGTGTCTTCCACAGCCCCGGCAGCCGCCTCGCCAGAGAGGTTGGGGAACTTGAGGCTTGGCAGGTGATGTTTGGGTTGAAAACACAGCGCCAATCCAGCGGAGATCGAGCACTTCTAATTACCAGACATCTCGTTGTTGGGGGCCGGATGCATTCGTTTGGGGCACCCTCCCAAAATCGAAAATCGTGGATGGCCAGTGCCCCGTACTCCTTTGGAATTTGTTTTGGTTTGGCGGGAGGCCACAGAATTCGAATTTGCGCCTTCTTTGTATGTTTCCGATTTTCTTTGGTGGTTTTGGGTGGCTCCATCTCACCCAGGATCTTCACCTCTGGTTCGACGGGACATCCCAAAGCTGTACGCCGCACCATGGCACAATCAACTCCGCCGAGGACTCTGGGGCGTTCACATGTGTTCGCTGGTGACCCGCTGGTGCCCAGCATAAAATGACATAAGAAGTGCTCTTGTTTTGTTTTAAAACATGATGTAGATCCATGTGCGACCTTTTCAGAGGGAGTTTATATATTAATCAAGAGTCCATATTCATACATAATTAATTAGAATTAATTGCACCATGTGTTTTGTTCGGTTGGTTCATTTTTGGGGGTGCCATTTGTGGTGCATTGGCTTTGGGAGGGGCGTTCAGTTGGGGCAACTCTAAACCCCTCCTATCCGTTTGATGCCTTCCTTTGTCCTAACCAAACTGACCCTTCTCCACCCCGGATGTTTCCCCGTGGCCGGGTTGTGCCTGGCTCGTGTGGGCCTCACCCACGGTGTCCGGCCCCCCACTACGAGGTAGCCACGCAGAGCTGTATGCGTTCCTGTGGCTTTATGCCAAAGCTGTAACTCCGGATCGAGCTTTGGCACCAACAAGGTGATTTTTTTCTTTGGGGTGTGACACTCATGCAATAGGGGCGTGGGCGTGCATGTACCTGAAAAGAACGTCCAGCACATGTGATGCGTTTACCTATGACAGACATATAAAACACCAGTGGTTTTGATTTGAAAAGCAAATTGTCCATCCCTCCCAACACCAGATCTTTTTTTTACCCGTGGTCTAGACCATTGTGAATGGAGCCGTAATCCAC